TCTGGAAATTCGTCGGAAAAGACGAACATTTTACAAATATTTGACAGTTGATGAATGGCAACTGACAGTTATTAGTTAACAATTTATCGTTCATAGACAAGGATAAGTGTTAATTTTTTTTAAATGTATATTTTTTGACATTTTCCACAAATAACAGTTGATGCGTTCGATGAATGACATTTGACAACCAACAATTGCTTAAATTCCTTTAAAATTCATCAGAAATTTGCGCAATTGTCCGCAAATTTATTAGAAATTTCCATTATTTAAGAAAATTCCTTGTCAATTACTTAAATTTCATATGAATTTATCGGAAATTCGCGCAATTATCCAGCAATTATTTAGACATTTCCATAATTATCTGTAAATTACTTCAATTTATTTAAAATTGATCAACAATTTACACATTTATCCAGCAATTTCTTGCACATTTCCATAAATCCTCGGTAATTTTTTAAATTTCTTTTAAATTTATCGGAAATTCGAGCAGTAACCCGATTTTTCCCTTGAAATTTCCATAATTCCCCGGCAATTTCTTAAATTTATTTTAAACTTATCGAAAATTCGCGCAATTCCCGTATAAATTCCCGTTATTTCCGGCAATTATCTATTATTTTCTTAAATTTCTTTAAAATGAATAGGAAATTCACCAAATCTTTCAAAAATTCTTTAGAAATTCCCGTAATTCCTTGTCATATTTTTAAATTCATCAGCAATTCACGTATTTCTGTAATTCCCCGTCGCACATTTTCCGTTATTTTCTGCAACTGTCATTTTCTTAAATTCTTTGTTAACTTCTTAAATTTATTTAAAATTTACCTGCAATTCACGCATATCCGTAATTCTTTGGCAATTACTTAAATTTATTTTAAATTAATTGAAAATTCACGCAATTCCCGTAGAAATTCCCGTTTTTTCCGCTAATTATCTGTTATTTTCTTAAATTTCTTTAAAATTAATGGGAAATTCGCCTAATCATCCGGAAATTCCCGTAATTTCTTAAATTCATCTGAAATTCACGCATTTCCGTAATTCCCGGCAATTGTTTAAGTTTCTTTTAAATTAATTGGAAATTCGAACAATTTCCTTAGAAATTTCCGTTATTTTTGACAATGTTCCGTCACTTCCTTAAATTTCTTTAAAATTAATAGAAAATTCGCGAAATTATTGGACAATTTATTAATTAACAATAATAATTATTAATTTCTAGGAAATTCCCAAACATATCTCAATATTACCTCTACGAATAATAAAATTTATTTTTAAATCCTCTAAGAGAAAACAAATTTAATGAAAGTGAATCTTCCTCTTTGTTTTTTATTTTTAAGGTAAGTATGCAACATATTTAAAACATTATAAGCATGTTATTTCATTTTATAAACGATTACAAAAAAAAAAATATTTTTGTATGGAATATTTATTTCGTGACTATCTTGCATTTATATTGATTAAATTAAAAAATTACGGTATGTTTACAGTCATAGTTTGCTATTTATGATATCTAATCTATTTTAAAAGAAAGTTAAAAAAAATAAAAATGCCATACACAAAATGGTATCACGATTTTTTATTCCATAAATTGGATAAATAAATACAAATTAAAATTATGATTTTAGAACCTCATCATACTTTTACTTATTTAAAAGAACATGATAAAAAGTGGCATTTGATTTATGCTCAAAAGAAATTGTTTAATTATTGGTACACTATTCATGATTATATTTATCAAATACTATACAAATATGGACATATATGTTGAAAGCATACTAAAATACTAACGCTAACATGCTCATTTTGTATGGTTGATATGTTAAGGGTATAAATAGTAAGATTTTTTTTTTATTTATTGATATTTTGTGTGCCTTTTATTTATAAGAAAATATATTATTTTGAACAAATTAACGGGTATGGAGATTCTTCGAAAGGACATTACAACTGCGCTAGATTGAAATAGATTAGTAAAGAAGTTTAGAATATTAGAATTAGAATGAATTTTTCATGTGAAAATATTACCCATATGTTGTGTATTATTAAGTCAGTATAAGAAATCTTTTAAACAATCTTGTTTTTAGATATGATTGTTTCTGTGTTTTGTTTTTATAAAAAGTATATCCAGTTTTTTTAACAATAAAATCATTGTCACTAAATATGTATTTAAAAAATAATGTAAATTAAACTTAAAAAAAATGTTCTTTATAATTCACTTAAAATATTTTCCATTTTTCATCATTTATCTTCAACAAGAATTCACTAGACTTATTTATTTCTTCTAGTTGTAAGTAAAAGTTGTAAAGTAGGAAAATGTTACTCCAAATTGCTTCAAATGTCAGAAATTTTAAAACGCTTTGCAAAATTGTTACCAACTATTAACAAGGACAATATCTGGGACGTTATTTGGTTAATTTTGGGTTTCTTTGTACTAATGGAAATTGATTGTAGAAAAAGAAAGTTGACTGTTGGTCAATTAGTAAGCCATATGCCAAGTTCATCAGCCAGAGGCTTGACAAAAGGCTCTTGCTGCTGACCTAAATTAGTGACGTGTATTGTCGGACTTTCGTCACAAACAGTATCAGTTAACGCAAACATAGGTTAGTCCATAAAGTGTAAGAGTAGAAATTGATGTGAAAAATTGTATAGATAAGTTGAAAAGTGATAAAAGCATGGATACTAGTAGGAATAACATAAGATACAATCACTACTATTTTCAAGTGAATAAAAAAACAGTACAGCAATGTACTAACTACCCACATAGCACACGGACGTCTTATGGGCGTCTAAAAGACGTCCTTCAGGGACATAAAGGACGTCCGAGGGACGTCCCTGGGAAAACTAAACGCTTTGTCGAAACGGGACCAAAATAGGACGTCCAGAGGACGTCCTTCTAAGGACGCCCTAGTGTTCACTGTAATCGGAAGTCCAGTGGACGTCCTATTTAGGTCCGGGACCAACCGGACCAACAAGGGACCAAATCAGGACGTCCATGGGACGTCCTGTGCTATCTGGGTATAGGAGAATACAGTTCTTCATTCAATGAAGGTTTAAAAGTATAACTGAAAGGAAAATAAGGTTAGAATCGAATATAAATATCCTAAAAACAGGATTCATTCTGCAAAAATCTACGTTAGATACGGTTTTTATTATTAGGTAAATTAAAAAAATTAATAGAACAAAGGAATAAAAAAAAATGTCGAGATGATGATGTAATTTTTAAAATCTTATTACACCAAACAATGTTGTTTAAAATAAATGGTTAAATTTTGATGAATGGAGGCGGATGATATTAATAAACATGCCAAATCAAGTTAATACCATGCACGTGCGGCCGAAAATAATGAAATGTTACATTGTCAGGAATATTATTACATCATATAGGTATTATTATGATATAATTTGTGGTCACTATGATTAAATTTTTTCCTATTAACTGTATTTATGACATATTGTGTATTATTTTATGTATAACCATATTTTTAATAGCAAAATTTCAAATTATTATCATCAGAGTTTGGGAAAGTTACGCGAGCATCTTAGTTCTATGTTGTTTTTTATTTTAATTACTAATATCTCCTTTTAATTTTGGTGTAACCCCTATAAGTTATCTTAAATAGCCCTAGTATAGTATCCATATTCTTCCTTTTATTAGTATTATGATATAAACGTTCATTCGTAATGCAACACAACATTCGTAACGTTCATAACATTTTCTTTCATAAAAAATCAAATTGTTTATAGCTCAAAATCAATTTTGGAAAGATGTTCTACATGAATCAATAAAAATTCCAGCTGTAAAAATTGGACTGGATACTAAAAATTCCAAAATTCTAATGATTCTATATTTATCATAAGGATTTTAGAAGGTGTAGAACTTTTAATATTTTTGTTGCGATTTTTTTTATTCTATCACGAAAATAGAATTAATTATCAATGGTTTTAGTTTGGTCACTGCTATTATAATATACGACTTAGATGATTTTATGGAGAACAACGACTCTCGAAATTACCCACTTTCTAGCAAACTTGACGTCTGGCACGGAAATTTTCCCGATATCTACCGACATAATTCTTCCTTCGTGAAAAAATATTTTCCACCAATTTTCCGGCGGGACCAGCTTTTATTCGGCAGGGATTTATCGGTTTCGGAAAATTTCATAGCATTTTCCGGCTATCCGACGGATTTTCCGAAGAAACTAAAAATCCCCGTGAACTACCCAATGTTCCTCACATCTGGTATGGATATTTTCCCTATAACACAAACATGTTACCAAAAATTTTTAAAGTAAAGTGGTTTTCCACCAATTTTCTGACAAGAACAACAGCAGATTTATCCGTTTCAGAAAATTCCCTGGTTTATCACTTTACAGTTGTTTTTGAACGCCAAATTGTAAGCTGTCAAATGTCATTCATAGAAACGACCAACTGTCAATTATGGGTATTTAAAACGTCAAAAATCATCATGTTTAAGGAAATTAATTTAAGAAGTGGGGTCGGTAGTTACAGCAACTGCTCCATTCATTTACGGGGCAAGGTAATGTCTATTTTCCTTGTACAAAAACTTGGTTTCATATAATTTATGAACATTTCCTATGTTAAAGTGACAACTGGTTTCAGCCTTAGCCCATTATTAGGTCTACACGTTTATTAATACCTGTTCTCTTCTCACTTATAGACCGGATGATGGTTTAAGGTCGGAACCGGTTGTCATATAATTTTGTTCGAATAAATATGTCTGGGTTCGAGCCCCACTGACGACAGGTTTTTTTTTTTTAATGTGCAAGTACTTGTTTTCACCTTTGGGGTGGTGATGGTCTTAATAACTTGTATGAAGATTGTTAAAATTTGTTTTTGAATTTTCAAATTATTTCAGCTACATTTTTCAGATATCCCGATTTCTAGATAGTAAATACTCAATATACAAATGTGATTGATTTTGAATAATGTCGTACTATTAAATACTTGATTGATTTGTTTATTTGGTCATAAAATGTTATATTTTTTTACAGATGGGAGAGAGAACATCTTTATATGTATTAGACTGCCTTTTTTCTATACTCGTAGTGGGAACATTGGTTGTGTTCGTTTGGAGAGGAGTATGGCAACTTATAGATATATTTCTATTTCCAAATGATGAAATTTTTTCGTCTTGGAGTAGTTTGGTAAGTTTACTTCATCTTAATTACTTCTAGCTCGATAATTAGTAAAATAGATATCAATAATTACTAAGCTTCTATTTTTAAAAGAAAAAGTAACAAATTAGCTTAGTAGAATCTAGAAATACGTTAAAATAATTTGATCGGACACATTTTTGGGTTACTCTGCATAGTACTTGTTTTAATTGCATTCCATATATAATATTATCACCCTGTATATCTATTATATTGTTTAGAGTCACTTATATCCACTTATATATAATTTGGATAATCCGATTTTATTACTTTTCGTCCAAATTATGACATATTTCATATTTTTGTTATGTCTCATTGTTAAGCTTAAATTGTAAGCAGCGCAATTTTGTCATTTTAAATTTCCGTGTAATTCTTTAATGAATAGTTTGACCTTAAAATTGTTTTAGGTTCCGAGAGTATAGCAATTTAAAAAATTCCTATGCAAAATGCGGTTAAAAACTATAATCGCGTTATCATTTGATTAGGAACGACTATTTAAAATCACTGTTGTACAAGGTCAAACTGTAGAGATTTTTCGTGTTTTAGATAGGTTAATTTTTATATACCTATTTTGCCTGAGCAAATTGTGGGGTAATTTGGATTCTTTCCATTCTACATGTTTTTTGGGGTGCTGAAACTGAAACTAAAGTTTTCTAACAATAATGTAAGCATTAACATTAATATCAGTAATATTTTTCAAAAAATTCCAATTAGTATGCAAAAACTCATTATATAAAGATAGAAAGTTTGCTTTTTTAAAGTTGTAATATATGCGGTTTTTTGATTACTGCCAAACTGTCAACTTTTCGTCGATGATTAAGAGCACAAATATTTCGAAAATGGGAGAGGTAAGATTCTATATCCTTCATGATGAAATCTTTATGGTTTCCAAATATAGTACATCCACTTAAGGATAGAGTATCCTTGTGCATTAGAATGGCGTCTGCAGACCAAAAGTTAATTGTAACTATTTCCGTAATTATACCATATATCGTACTATTTTTTTTTTAATTGTTTTTAATTAAAAACGTGTGGTAGAAAATGGCCTATTTTTAGACTATTTTCATTGTAAGAATAAACTACAAATTCAATAAATTTTCTGAAATTGAATTGGTCATTCTACTCAGCTAAAAGAAAATTACGAAAATCTTGAGGTACTGCTTTTAAGAATAAACCACAGACAACATAACTGGATTCTATGTGGTGACTTTAAAATTTTAGGGTTGCTTTTAGGTCAACAATCCGGATAAACGAAATACCCATGTTTTCTATGTGAGTGGGACAGTAGAGCAAGAGATGACCACTGGACCAAAAAAAACTGGCCACCAAGAAAAAATTTAACGTCTGGCTCCAAAAACGTAAGTCGGGAAAGCCTAGTTGATCCCGAGAAAATTTTATTACTCCCTCTATATATAAAATTGGGGCTGATGAAACAATTTGTCTAGACAAAAATTGTAGTTGCTTTAAGTACTTGTGTGAAACATTTCCGGGTCTCTCTGAAGCTTAATTAAAAGAAGGCATCTTTGTTGGGCCACAAATAAGAAGGTTGATGAAAACTAATGAAATTGAGACGGTTATGCAGGAAGACGAAAAAGAAGCATAGACAGCTTTTAAACAAGTTATAAATAAGTTTCTAGAAAAACTACAAAGACCCTGAATTTGAACGTATTGTTGAAAACATGTTGGACAAATTTAGAAAGTTAGGCTGTAACATGAGCCTAAAAATTCATTTTCTACATGCTCATCTTGACTATTTTCCGGATAATCTTGGCGATGTCAGTGAAGAGCAAAGGAAGTGCTTTCACCAGGACATAAAAGAGATGAACGGCGATATCAAGGTCGCTGGGATATCAAAATGATTGCCAACTACTGTTGGATGCTTAAAAGGGACCGTCCTACCGCAGAATATGCACGGAAAACAACAAAAAGAAGCTTTTCCGGAAAGAAAGAAAGATTTTTCAAGAAAATAAAGAATTAATGTATGTTATTTTTTAACTACTTCCCGGTTTTATTGTTTGTTTCCTTGGTTTATTATTTTCTTTTTTATCCTAAGTATCTATAAATATATTTTTACTTTTTACATTCTTGTAGTATTTTGTTTAAAAACTTTACGTGATAGAAAAAAACTAAAAGCAGATTTGAAATCAGCGTCACTGAAATACCCAATTTCAGTTGAAAAGTTCAATTCACATTTTACAGAGTATTTAAACGCAGGCCTGTGTAATTAGTGAACTCTTTATTTTTGACTCCAAAACTTTATGATATATATATTTTTTTCAGGTTCTAGGATATCTAGTAGTGGCTTCAGCGTTCCTTCTTCAACCGCTGATGAAATATTTGTGTGAAAGACTGACTGGAACTACACGTTTGTTGATTGCAGATACATTTGTTTTGTACGCCTTATTCGGCACCGTGAACGTATGGAGAGGGATATGGAATTTATTAAATATTTATTTTTTACCAGGTAAATATAAAAACTACGTATAGAAAACATAACGAGCTATTATACGCCGACACTCGAACGGCGAATATAACTATTGAAATATTATAGACAGTTTCTAGACACTTTGAAACACACTATACACAACAATTTTGGGTCCGCTGACACTGAAAACATTTTTTTACCTTAAAATCCTTAAAATTAGTTGTCGGGTCTAAATCATAAAACAAATGTGAAATTAACCATTTTTACTGATTTCTTGTTGTAGAAACGGCTAAATATCAATATTAGACCAATAAACCATACCAAATTTTTTCATAAACGATCCAATTTTCTTATTTTTCATTTTTAGTTTGTTAGAAAAACAAATAAACAGTAAATTCTTTTCAATGATAATTGACGTTTCTAGTTTCTATAAATGCGGTATTGCCAAAGTCAGGAAATAATTCGGTTAATGAAAGCTGGCTGAAAAATTACATAGTGTCTGGCCAGCAGGTGAATTTGGATCGTGAAGTGAAAACATTTGTAGTAATCACAGACATCTGTCTTTTTATTTCATTTGATGATCATTGTGCGTCGGCATGTCGGTACTTGTCTAATATTTGTAAAAAATACTTTTTTTTTTCAATTTGATTCATGTCCAGGCCGTTGGAGTCTATGCCGGTCGGCGTAGCCAGGTATGGGTTAAGATTTTCTGGTGGGTCTAAAACGGTCTTAAAAAAAAAATAAAAAAATAGCCCATTCGACTGTTGGCGGATTTTTCCCATAACGATTCTTTTTTAAAGCATTCTTCGTTATTATTTTTGTTTTGTCATCTTTCTTGATGCAAAAAATATCCCAGGATTTTGTCGAACTATTTTAATATTGAAAAACATTGAATTTATTTAAATTTATAAAAATGTTTCCAATTGTTTAAATGCTCATATTATTTAAAGATAAATTTTCCATAGTTTGTAGTAGATAAACTAGAATGAAGATATAAAGTATGGTTCAAATGAAAGGAATAAGTTCATTATAATGGAATTGGTTGCTTTTTTTAAAAAAATGTTCAGACAAGTTTATTTTTTTTTTACTACATCCGCTATTTTTCAAAAAGAATTTAAGTTTCCCCCACCTTCCTGTTTTTGGGTACTGCCTTCATTACGAGTAATAATTTTTTTAGATAATAATCCATTTTTTTTTTTGATAGATCTTACTATTTTCTACTCGGAAACAATATTGGCAATATCTTACATAACAATTTTTTTGAATAAAAGTCATTTAATGATCTAACGCAGTATTTCCCAAAGTGGTCCAGGTGGACCCCAGGGGTCCACGGGAGACACGACGGGGTCCACGTTGGGCGTAATAAAAAATGAGAAAATTGATATTGTAACATCTACTAAATACCTTGGCTTTCAACTTGATAATTTTTTATTGTTTAGTGAACATTTTAATTATATTTTCAAAAAAATGCGACATTAGACGAACATTTTTTAAAGTTTTATATGTATAATTTGATTTTGGTACAAAAATTTTGAAATTTAGATCAATATTAAAAGTTCTTTTTCTTAAAAGTAACTCATACTACTGTTTAAAGTGTATAACAACCTTATTATATAGAAACAATAACAACGCTTCTCTTATATTTTTAGATAATCTAGAAATGAGTTGCTGGATAACTCATTGGGTCAGTCTCATCATCCTCATCTTGTGCCGCTGTTCAAACTCGCTATTAGTTCGAGGCGTCTACATAGATGCAGAAGAACCAGCTGGAAAATGTGTGGTATTCCCTTGCTACTATCTCAGAGTCATCTTCCGCAAGAAAAAACTAAAGAAACTCAACCTAGCAACAATGTCGTTGAACGATACAATCAAAAAAGTGAATCATAAAGAAAGTGCTAGCAACCACGTCGTCAAAATTAGCACGATCAGTGATACTGTCGAAGAAAATTGCGATACTAAACAATGTAAATGAATGTTAAAGATTTAGAACAAATAATTCTGAGATTAAAACAATGCTAAATGCTTTAATAACAATGGAAATAAGAGATGATAAAAATTTGAAAAATGCTTATGCTTTATTAAAGTAATTATTGGCTCAGTGTAAGTTTTTTTGGAGAATTTAATCATAAAAATTCTCAGTGAAACCATTGATAAAATAAAAGAAAATTGAGTACCCATATTGGACCCTTGAGGGACTCCTGAGGTAGCAAAAATATTTTTTGAAAAATCTATTGTAAAAAACAAAGATTAGTATTTCTGTATTTTGAAACCTTTTAAAGAAGTATTATTTTAAAAATGAAAAACCGTTATATCTGTCATTAATAACAGAAAAACGTATTAAAGTAGGCATCAGTGATACTATTTAATACTCGTATATTATGAGAGTCTCATAATTATTTGGTTGTTTATCATTTTATGATGTGAAGATTATAATTTTTGAAAGAAAAAATGTGATAGCTGAGCAATAATAATTTATCCAACAATTTATATTTTCTCAAACTGTTTGAAACCCATTTCCAGATTGAAGCTCATTTTCTTGGACAGTACTTAACTGAGAAAGAAGTTTTTATAGTATTAATTTATAAAATCAATTAATTTTAAGTAATTAATTATATCTATGCTTCGAACGAGACTGTACATATTGTAGTTCAATTCAATATTATTTAAATTATGTTTATATAATTATTGTTAATAAAAATAAGCTTATATATTTATTTTGTTTAATTTATTTTAGTTAATAATAATATATTTATTGCTTTTAAAAACAGATTGTTTTACAGCAAGGGTTTGACATACAAAAGTATACCTGTTTATACAATACAAATTAATCACACACCTAATTAATAATACAAAAACAAAAAATAAGAGGAAGAAAAAGCAAAACAAAAATACATTATTTGGTTTATACCTATAGCTATCCTATAAAATAAAAACACAAAAAAAGATCATATCTTTGTTTAAATTATTCATTTATTATGAATGATCTAAGTTTTAGTTAATATTTGTGTGCAAAATAAGAGAGGGGGAGAAAATCAGAGGAGGGGCAAAAATGGTTACTAGTTGAATGTGCTTACTCTGATAGCCGAACAGTTTAAAAGGCAATTATCTTGTACGAGACTCACTGTTCCATGAGGTAGCTAGAAAACTAAATTTACGGGAACGATACGAAGCGTTATCCATAACAACAACGAGTTAGGAATCAGAGTTTCAAGTAGGTATGGTGTATATTAGGATGGCCATATTTATTTTGACCCAATACAGGATATTGAGCATGAATACAACAATAATGAATTTTGGAGATGTGAAGACCTCTTTTTCTACCTTCCCAAAGATAAATACAACAACAGAGAAGTCGTATATTACGTTTTGGGACACTTAGAGAAGCAAAAAGACACCAAAATCATGGTACCTACTTTTATGGTTCCCGAGATATAGAATTCGGTCGAAAATTTAAATGAAAGAAACCGCCTAGATGTCAAAAATTACAAATTACTATATTAAAGTGCCAATGTCTGTTTGTTTGTCAAATTACCGTTGTTCATCAACACACTTTTCAATCAATAAGCAATTAACTATGAATTTCTCTTAGAACATTTATATTCTAAGATAAGAACAAAGGCTCTAATGTCAAAACTTCAGGTTTGCATATAAAGACTATCTCTAGTCTTCATAGGTTTGCAATAAATCTTATTTTAGTATGGAATTTATTTGCCTCCAATTACATTGTCACTATTAGTGGCTGATGATATAAAAATTTCCAATCAGAAGTCTACAGAATTGTAAACTTCAACTCAAATTTCTCCTCCTAGTTTAAAAACAAAGTATAGCTATTTCTTAACTGTGTTCAATTGATTTAATGTAACGATAAAATCTCACTACTTTGCGTTTTCCAATTTTGAGGTTAAGATGATTATTGTAACGAGATTGCTAAAATAGTTATAGTTAGAATTAGTTACTGAAAATAAATTTAAATCGTCAGCGCACAAGAGACCTTTTAAAGCTACAAAACTAATGAAAAGAACTGATCAAATGTGTGAACCTTGAGGAATACTTAAATGTACTAAGATTTTCTTGAATAAGGAACCCCACAAGCCAACCCTTTTGTGGGCTTGGTTCAGACTGTCGAGAAGTACCCGCTTCTTTATGATCATGCTTTAAAGGCGTACAGCAATAGAAGTGAACAAGATAAGGCTTGGAACCAAGTTGCTGGGATTTTTCTACAGGTAAGTTTGTTATTATTATTTAAATATGTTCTAAACTTAAGAAAATCGTTGTGTCTTGACGACCGGTAACGACTGACCAATACACAGCCGACGAAATATCGATTTACAGACTTTGCTAGATAACTGTCCAAAAATGTACAGTATAGATGATGATGACAATGAGTGAAGAGCTACCGGTCCTAAAGAACACTCCACTGATCATCATCCGGAAGCAGATTTACTGGATACTAATTTCTTACGTACATCGGTTAGGTTAGATCCTCAACAAGGAAGGTTCCGCCAAAAACTCCACTGGATGAAATGGAGCATGCTATCTTCAATTACCTTTCTCAAAAAAGTTCGCCATAACCTAAAATCCCAGACTTAGAGTTTTTAAAAGCATTCTCCCCGATATTGCTACTTTAAATGCATCGGAGAAACGAAGATTCAAGATAATAGTACCTACTGCAGACATTAGACGTTATGTTGCAAAAAAATACTACATCAACATTAGCGAGTGCTTCCAGTTCTGTGTCTAATAATGGCAGGCAAAACAAGACGTACATTTACGAGTATAGCAACATTCAGGTTCTTTTCCTTTTACTAGGCATAGATCATAGGAATTAACAGCTTATTTTCCTGTAGAGTTTATGCATTTTGTAGGGATCAGTTAGACTATGAAACTAGGAAATTGATGCTTATCATGTTTTTTCCCGAATCCTTCATTTATGATTGACAAAAATCTATTTTGCGTATATTTTAGAATGTCTAAAATAATTTCTGTTAAATGTAGACGAGATACTTGGCATTTTTTGTCAGTTCCACAGCTCAACAGCACTTATGTATGTACCAGCCGCCACTGTTCCTTAATTTTTTGTCAATAATCTACCTACCTGATAGAACTTTGATACATTTTTAGTAACCGTGAACCATGAAGTTTACCTTGGGACACTTGAAAGGAGGCGGGAAATCCAAACATTTAATTAGCAATAATTTTACATTGTTAATCCTTATAGGTTTTTCTTACCCCTTCACTAACAACATCTATGAAAAAGATAAAAACAATTATATGCACCGGTACTCTTTCTATTAATGATTTATATCTATATTTACATGCTCAAAATTTCATTCATTCACACAATCATTTCGGGAAAACCCTGTATCACACCATATATTATTTACAATTAATACACATAACTCGCTTAAAGTTGCAGAGTCAAGAACGTGTTTCGATTTTATTATTTCAATTTTAATAACTACGTTTAAAACAAGTTCAACATTTGCATCGAGAGCATCTTCAAGTTCGTAGGAAGAAATCGGTTTAGCGGTTGAGATAAAGTTGGTTTTGTCTGATTATTTGTTGAAATTAACATAAAATATGGTAAGTGCGAACAAACTATTAAATAACAATTATGATGTTACATAAATAGGACATAATAACTGTTAAATAGTGTAATAATTACTAATACTGATAAATAATTACTAATGCTCCCTATTGTAAAAATTTGCCAATAAAAATATTACTGGGTAAAAACTGTTTATTAAATAGAGTCAAAAGTGACTGCAGTCAAAAAAGGTTCTTAGTTTTTTGAGTTTTTACAATGCTTTTCATGCATTTTTATGATAAAAAAGTAAATAATCAAAAAAATCACAGGCTTTTGATTAAATACAACTTGCACTATTTAACATGTTTTCTGCCAACATCAATCAAACAATATACATTTTTAATAGATTAGAAGTTAGTTCCGGAGTTCCCCAGGGCTCAATTTTGTGACCTGTGTAATTTATACTTTATAAAGATTCTAAATTGTAACGATACTTCTGCACCGGTTTGCACTCTTACCTGAAATCGGCCGGTTTGCGCTTTTTCTACAATTCTGCACTTCTGTCGCTGTAACATTAGGCAAATGATCGGCTTCTCTAATTATTATGTTGTTCTCTATAATTATATTGCCTTGAAAGTTATGTAGCAGGCTTTGAATAAGTGGAGAGCACCCACTATATTCGCCAGATCTCGCCCACAGTGATTACAGGCTGTTTCCCAAATTAAAAGAAAACTGACGTTGGACAAATTTTTACAGTACCGATAAACTGATGCTAGCTGTAGAGAGGTGGTTTGCAGAGGTTGGACAATTTTTTCCAGGAGGGTGTTGAGATGTTAGAGCACCGATAGATCAAGTGCATTAGTGTAGAGGGACTGACTCTATGTCGAAAAATAAAAAATATAATGCCGCTGCTGTTTTACTGTAAGGGGATCAAGGGTGCAGCATAGGGATTCACCCTCGTATGTGCGAAGGATAGCAAATAATTTGCGCATTATTCTATTAATTTTAGCCAGGAAGTAATTACTGAAATATTTTATCACCGATTCTAAATATTGCTATTAAATTTGTACATAAAAATTTATAGTAAAATCATTATTATTTTTCAGGTTTTTAGAAATGATGTATTAGTGAAAATAGTAATTATTTCAGCTGTTTTGGGATCAACATTATGCCAAATTATGTTTCCAGAATTACCAACTCAGAGGTTGGATAGTGATAATACTCAAGTAAGAAAGGGTTTTTAGTGGGTAATGGTAATATTCATTCAGATATTTAAACATTCCTAGCTTTTTGTGTGTAACAAATGACATTAAATACATTGTTTCTTTTTATTATTCATTAATTAGTTTTTTTATATTTAACCACTTAATTTTAATTTAATATTTGCAAAGGGTAATTATTCCTATCCAATGTTTTTCTATTCTAAGATCTTTATTTTCTTTAATCTTCATTTTCAGGAAAGAGTTCCTTTATATGCTCCAAATATATGTCCTGAAAATCAACTCCTGTATCCCGGTTACCAAGAACATGATTGGGTTTGTGATTGTGGCCCTAGTAAGTATTTACATTGTGAAATATAATTTTGATAATTACTTTTAAAATTCTGAAAAAATTATATCTTTTTTCTATACCTAATTATTAATATTTTATTATTAACTAAAAAATCCAATTTTCATTTAACCTCTTTTTTTATCAGATCATTTAGGATACGGTTATTGTTTAGAACTCATTTTTTAATTATATAATAAGCATTTTTTAAAAATCAGATCTTTATCTGAAAAAGGTAGATATGTTATTAATATTTTAGCATACATTTACTATCCACCAAAGGACTCCTGCTATCCTGCATACCGACAAGGACCTTGCAAAAATGGAGAACATTTAATAATACAGCCTGGTGACATAATACCTTCATGTGTCAAAAATCCTTGCGAAGATGGTTTTGCAAGGTAAGTCAATAGAAAATATATACCAAATACTTATTTAATAAAGTTTTATTATCCAAACACCTTTGGTATTTATATGAAATCAGTATATCAATTAAAATGACCTTGTAATATTATAATGAACCTTTTTTTCTAAATTTTAAGCGATATTATTTGAAAACACGGCTATCAACGAACTTGTTTTTTTTTGTTCAAGTTAACATTTAAAAATAAAATATACTACAATTCGTTATTTATGAGTAAACTATATACAATATCTGTAATTATTAATATTAGGCATCCTAATCCAGGAATTCGTCTTCTTTTTGAATATTTAAATAAAGTTAGGATCAGTGCATCAAAAAATGTATAGATTTAACTTTGCTGCTCTACAAAATGATTCGAATAGTCATAAGTATTGAGATGTTGGTACCTTTCGTCGCCCATTTTACAAAAGGGCATAGCTCATTTATGCAACTTTTCAGGAGAGCGGTTTTAAGATTTTAAAAATGAGGTGGTCTCAGTTAATTAATCATAGTATGGAAATTTACTGGAAATTTACTTGATTTTTTGAACAAGTATAATAATAATATAATAATAATAATACTCTCCCTAATTCACCCCCTTACGAGTGAATTTTAACCCCAAAAGCTGAGCTTGTCCGGGGAAAGAGACGGCTATTATTATTATTTGCCGTGGCGCTCCGGGCCGACTTAAAGATGATTGATGGTGCCATTTGACTTACAGGTAAGGAAAACCCGGAAAACTTCACCCACCATCATCGAGACGGTAATGTATGGCGATTTTTATAATCTGCATGTCATATCAACAGAAATTGAATTTCTATTAATACGGCACACATCAAATCCTATACCGAACCATGCAATTTAATTAAAAATCCACATGGTCTGGTCTGGGATTCGAAGTTTAGCAGTCTCTGACACATAAACTTGCTTATAAATGAATATAAGCGCGTTAGACCGCTAGACCACCGACCCGAGTGTAGCTAAAGAATGTAATTTGCATTGCCTTATGCTATTTATGAGTTATTGTGAACAGTTACCTAGAAAATCAGATTTTCTTGAGATATGCCCTTTTGAGACGAGAATTTTCCAAAAAATCCTTGAGTTAGGTCCGACGACATGCAATATTAAAACACAATACAAATTGATTTTAATGCATTTTTTGTTAACAAACATGATATTTTTGATTTTTGTTTTTGTAACATTATTGAGAAATATAAATGGCTTTAAGAAATATTTCTTTTTAGACAAAATAATTTTTATTAAAAAATGTGAAGCTCATAAGCTATTACAAAAAAAAAACTTAAAAACAAAGATTTTTTTATATTATTGTAAGTACTTAGTCTATGGTCCCAGGGAAAACTAATTATTCGTGGGGTAGGTGAGCGTAAAAATGCCTGTGGTCCTCCGACCTTATAACACTCTTCTCTCCTTGACATAGAGAGCACAAGGTTCGGTATCTTGATTCGGCCTGTATTTAATTTAGGAACTGGATTCTTAAGAGGGTGATTAGACTATATTTCTCTTAAGAGAAATGCTGCTGTATATAATGCGCAGGTAGGTTTAGTTTTGAACTGAATTGTATTTGGCTTTAGTTTCGTAACTAGCAGCTCAGATACCTTTGTCCAGTCGACGGTGTCACTGGAATTGTCACATTTTCGAATGGTCAGGATTCGTAGATTATTAGACAGTTCCTTGAAGGCCAGAAACTTTTCAGGATTCATCTCTTCTACATTGTAAGGGTGTTTGCGTCTAGCCAGTCTTATTATACTTGTTAATTGTGAGGGTATAAAAATATCTCCCGCTCCTTTAACGGCATATCCTATGGCACTGTACACTATCCCCTTCACTTTGCCCGAGGTGGGGCTCAAAAAACGTGATACGAATCTCATCTAATGTAGTGCTGTTATTTATACAATAAAGCATCATTGTGGGTAAAATTGTATCGCAATATATAAGTGAATAACATTTTTGTTCTGGGATTCAAATTTTTTTATAGAAGTGTAAACGCAAGTGGCAACCTCAGATGACCCTCTTTTGCTAATTGCCTCGTGCCACAAATAGCAATCACAGTCTCTAAATGCTATATCATATACAGTGAAGTTGTAAACTGACAACCTTCTTTTGTAGAATACAGCACTCTCCTTTGATATTGGAAGTGAAAGAACTTGTTGCAAGTCGAAAACAGCATAAGCATACTTTGAGTTCGGTTGCTGAGCCATTTGTTTACTTTCATCTTTCATTTTTCTAACGTTATTTTTTCTAACGATGTGTGATTCATATTCTAGTGATAACTCCTTTTTTTTTCTTCATCGCCATTATGATATAACACACAAAAGCTGCATTGATCCTTTTTGGGTCGGTAAAAGGATAGGTTCATAGATTTGAATACTTTGCGGTACACAGAATAAAAGGAGCTATTAGAGGTCCAGATTCATCTGCTAGATACATGGAAAACATCTTTAGTAGACTAATATTTTCATGTAAACATTTACGAGTTGAATTTTGACGGCAATAATGAGATTCAACTCTTCCAAATTTATTTATGTGTTCGGTAATTACATTAATTAATTGAAGGTCTCTATCGACTTGTAACTTATACCTTACTCCTCTCTGTTCTTTTTCTATAATTCCAGTTGTACTTTTCTTCGATAATGTTGTCGTTGCCAGAGTATTAATAAAAAATGTTTTACAAACTGGTAGTTCGTCGCCGTCTAACGGAAGAAAGTAATAACTGCTTTTATTTCTTCGAGATACCTCTTTTTGTGTAATTTTTTGTTTTATTTCTTCCATTTTAATGTACCTTGCAATGCACTCTCTTTGTAACTGCAAGGATTCCATTGAATACAAATCTTCACAAAGAATATTTAATAAAAATATAATATAATTAGCACTTAAATCGTCAAAGAGTTACCACACAATGTGCTCACTAGAGATAATAACACACAAACTGTGAGGTTATGTTATTTTGTCGCGCAAACGAATCTCGTCTTTATGAATTTGAATGTGTGGTTCCCCTATACCTACCTGCAGCATTTTTAAATTATCCCGTGACAAATGAAACTCTGCAATGTTTTCAAAACTAATATTTTGAAGAAAAAAGTCGTAGAGGAGTTAAAACTTTATTTATTTAGTTTTTTGTATTAAATTGAGATATGCCCTTATGTGACGCAGATATTAAATTTGGTTGATGTTTTCTCAAAAGGGCCTATCTTGAGTTGAGCCCTTTTGTAAAAATAATAATTCGTCTCAACTCAGATATGCCGAAACACACTTTTCCCCATAACTTTGTTGCCTTTTATCGTAGAGATATGCCGTTTTGAGAAAAGATAATATATGCTACGGGACACACCGTCCACTATATAACTCAAAATCGACAAAAAATGAGTTATGCCCTTTTGTAAATGACGATTTGAATATTGTCATATATTTACGCAGTTTTGTGCACGGATTCACCAAGTGGGCTATAAAATATTTAAATATTAACTTGTAAATAATGTATTTGTTAATTTTAGCCGTTTGGCTTATAAAAAACCAAGTTATACACTTTTACAACATCCGAACATTAGCAACAATTAAAGTTTGTTATTATTACCTTTTGTAATTTGAATCAAGAACATTTTGACCGCTGGAATATTCTGTACCTGCATCTGATCCTAGCTCCACGTCGAAAACTGGCGCCCGAGTAAATTTTCGTATTATAACGTTACATATAAGTATTGTTTTCTATATGAGTACATTTTTCCCATTTATTACGAATTTTAAATAATTTTATGACTCAACAGTTTCCTATAAGCTACAAATTCACTTTTCATGAACTGTTGAGTGCGGGTTCCTCTAAATTGTCTTTCTGTTTTCAGATACAAAGGAACCTGTTATGAAATGGGCAGGCCTAATGGACCTTGTCGTCCAATTAAAGAAGGCGGTGGTATTTTCGACGTAAATGCCACTAATCTGGTAGTTCACTGTTTAAAAGGTACTGATCGTCTGTCACTATTCAGTTTACCGAAACTTTGTACACCAGGAAGTAAAAGAGACAGTAATGGTGTTTGTAGAGTTATTTACAACTAACTAGTATTAGTCAACTGCTTTGTTCAAATGTCAGTGTGTGAAAAAAATCAGAACAGATGCATTATTATTATTATTGTTATGAAGTTATTTTGGTAAAACCCTTATTTTATATTACATAAATTAAATCTGCCATAAACACAATATAATAGACTGAGAAAATTTTAGGTACATAAAAGATAAAAGTTAATTGTTTTCAATTATTGCGACCTTAATTTAAAAATCAAATAATTATATATAAAATATATTTCGTAAGTTAATTTTAATACAATAAAAACTGCCTGATTTTGTACTTATTTACATTAAATAAGATAATAAAATGATTTTGTTTAATTTTTCTTGAACCCAGTGACTGTCAAGAGTCTTTTGTAATCGGTTACAGATACTTTCAAAGTATTTTTCAATGTATTTATCATAATAATCTATTATAATTTTAAACAATTCAATTCAGTTTTATGTGCTCAGTAAATATTTTAAAATTTTGCTTGTATAAATTAATATAAATTCAATTAATATGTAGGTATATAGAAACCTCGTTGCAAATCATCGCGGAAATAAATAATTTTTATTTAACATGAGAGACGGAACAAATTAACGATAAAAATTAGACTCTCCACATGATTAGATTAGCGTTTATATCCTGCCTTAATTATGCAATAGATTAAATTAATCTGAGGAAGTACTAGTTAATTTGATGGTTTTTATTAATTTCGAACTCTAATTGAATCTTACGACTATAGAAAAAAATATTGCCGGGTTTATTCACAATATAAATTCTGGCCACCCACACAACTGTGCTGTGTAATTGTAACAATACTGGGTTTTTATAAAACATGAAAATATTATAAATCCTATACTTTAGATCTACTTTGTCACTCCAGAGATTTGATAAAGAAGAAATCACCCCTCAATTCAGTAATTAAGACCTATTTTCTTAAAAAACTGTTGTTCTTTTCTAACTTCAGTTATGCATACTATTTCAAAGGTACAAGCTACTTTGACAATGAATTTTTCTTATTCGAAATATTGAAATATCGTCCAAATCTATAATTCTAATTATAAAACTAGCACCTCAAACGATTGCCAAAGCTTTTAAACAATTCAAAAGTAGTCAGTACCTGAATCTGATTCAACCACATACTTTGATTATCAAAGTATGTGGATTCAACACTATCTAAGTGACTGACATTAAAGTAGACTTTCATACCAAAGTAGCATGCAACGTGCGACTTGCTGGTTGCTGCCAGAAACCAGGAAGCACGTCGCAACTGACGTCTTCACGATTTACTTTCATAACAAAGTCGTTCAATGCGACGGAAGAAGACAATATTGCGTCAATTGCTAGGAACAGGAGGAGGAAGAGAAAAAAGAGAAGAAAACTGAGGATACATCCGTATTTACGAGATAATGCTGACATACAGTTCATCAAATTTCTAGAGGCTTTCGACGGCTAGACAGAGAAAGCACTACTGACAGGCATCCCGACGGATTTACGCAATGAAAGTACACTCTGCGCATCAAGTATTTCACTATTTCATTCAGACGTAAATGTCAGATGTAAATTTCGCTAAAACATTTCTTTTATTTTCGTTTGTGTTTTTTGCTCATTACAGTTTAATAGAACCTAAGTATGGAGTTTAATAGCAAATTAAGAGGCCGCGTGATTAACAGTCAATCTCGCGAAATAATAGCCAATGTTATAGAGTTTATGAGAAGAGAAGGAAACTTTAATTCACCTTCAATACCATTTAAAAATGAAAATGATCGTGTTGCTGTAGCCACAGGAGTATCTAAAAACACTGTCGTCCGCATTTCTGGAGAGAAAAAAAGAATCGATAACCGTGAGATATCGGAATTTTCATCACCAAGAAAAACCATTAAAAAACCAAAAACAGTTAATGATATAGATGAAGCTGCACAAGAATCAAATTTTATTTTGTTATTATTAGATAGCTATTTTTGTTTCTGAGTTGTGTTCATTTACAGGCTCAATTTTTTTCCGTTTCTCCTTTTTGATTTTATATGGGGTTTCAAGTTGTTTTTGACTTATTTCGACGTAAATCACAACAACACACTTTTTTAATAAAGCAAACCAGTGTTAAGAGGTATATGTACGTGTAAACTACAATTACAAAAAATTGATATGAAACCCATGAAACCACCAACAAAAATGTAAAGCTAGCTTCCGTACTAGAACATGGTGTCATTCGTCGAGATAATTTATCGTTTTGTTTAATAGATCAAGAAATGTAAATATTCCCCTGTTATTTTTTATAAAATTATAAGAGAAATAAATTTTTTTCTAAATAGTATAGTTTATTATTTTGTAGAAAAACAAAATTTCGAAAATTTTAGTAATGTTTCAGAAACAACCGTTATTAATAATAGGTACCATTTTCCTTAATAAGGTAGAAATAAAATATAAACTATTTCCACGATTTACATAGGCCTACAAAAAAATTATAGATATTTTCCGCTATCCTATAAAATTTATATTTTCTGACTCAATTTCAAAAGGTTGAAGGAATTCCAAAACACCTTTTATGGCATAATAATTATTTTCAATTCTACATACTATCTTTAGCTGCTTTTAAAAACGTTCTAAGAAAGTCCAATCAGACCAATTTAATCCCTAAACTATTCCACACTTTTAAAATTTAATTACCTAAAAATATTAAAAACTATTTAAAATAACTTGTTTAGCCGACTGTACAATAGCTATCTTAGTCACACGTAGCGCGTTCTCTGTCTGGGCGTCGAACACCTCTAGAAATTTGATGAACTGTACATAGCACGTTTATTGTATCACAGCAGTTACAAATTACAAGTACATCCTCAAAAATTCCAAAAAAACTTCTACAGGATGGAAAAGGAAACATTTAAAAAGCTTGTTGATCTAATGACACCATAAATGCAGTTACAGGATACAAATTATCGAAGAGCTATTACAGTGGAGGAAAGACTACTTATATTTTCAGGGTAAGTACCTAATAAGTTAATAAATGCATGAGAATAAAAGGCAAGAAAATACTAAAACATTAATTTATTATATACTTACAAAAATATATATATACCGGGTGTTCAAATTAAAGTGTTACAATTAAACACCGCCTGTTATATAAAACCGTTTCAGACGAAAGTTTTATAGTTTTTTTTTGGGGAAAACATTTTGGTTAAAATCGTTTTCTTTTATATAGCTAACCATAATATGGCCAATATTTTTTTCGCGCAGCAAAATTTTCAAACAGGTGTTACTCACTAAGTAGAAGTCCAATAAAAGAGATTTAATTTTAAAAAATTTAACTCAATAGAAAATAAATATTAAACAATTTGTGCTGAACCTACCCTGCTAATAACCAAATTATAACCATTAGACCTCAAATCGATTAAAACAACTAATTAAATTGGACAGCTGACAAACGTGTTGATCTCCTATTGTTTTTGCAGTTAAAAATAGTACTTTAATTATGCCTCTCGATCGGCACTTGGGTTAGTATTAAACATCAATTCAAATTGTTTGGAAATCTATTTCCCTCTGATGTCGATCGGTATAGAAAATAGATCTCTCGTCATAGAGAACATGAATATCGTGGATCCAATTGTGTCAGTTGAGTTTGAAGTTTTTGGTAAAGTGCAAGGTAAATATTATTATATTTTATAGCTATTATTTACATCTTGGATTTAATGAAACTATGATGACTGGAGGGCGGAATATATGCACCAAAATTTTATTATAATATGCGCATATACAGCAGGGTATCCAAAGTTATTGTTAACAAAAGCATTTGATTTAGTTAACTATTAAAAACTCTAGAAAATTGCGGGTTCAGTACAAATTATTTAATAGTTATTTAGAAAATAGAAAAGAAATTTTTAATATTAACGCCATTTTCAGTGATATGAAAGTTATTAAATGTGGTGTTCCTCAGAGAACAGTTCTGGGACTATTGTTATTTGATATGTATTTAAACCTTTCATTCAAAGGCGAAGATAACAGTTTGGTTGATAACACTTCAATTTTTATCAACATAATAGGAACAAATATACAAGATTTTTATAAATGTTCTAACTTTTTTGACTACAAAGATACTTACTATAAACTATGAGAAGACTTCAAGCATACCTTTTACCTCATGTAGTAATAATTTAAGTATCTTTAAAAGAAGTATGGGAATCAATAAATAAAAATTGGGTCTACCAATACTAAAAATATAATATATAGATTCTCATGTAAGGTGTGATTTTCAAGTAAATTATATAGGGTACAAATGCTTAAATGGAATGGGACCCGAAACAGTCCATCCTAGGACAGTGTTATGTAGTATAGGACGGCAAATTCCTAGCTGAATTGAAATTGCAAATATTTATTTAAATAGGTAATCCTAACGTACAAACACAATAATTATTATCAACATTAATACACTGATCGGCACAAAAAGAGAATCACTAAAATATTTTCTTTAAAATCATAAAATGTATATTTATTTTTGCTTTGGCTTGGATTTGGTAAACGTGTATTATTGTTAACATTATTTAACACTTATTTAAGCTTGGATCCGTAATAACAAAAGTCATTAACATTGTAATAAAATAAAAGAAAAATAAAGTGGCAATATTTAATTAAAACAAATATTCAGATAACCATATAAAATCAGTTATACATGTCAAAAAAAATTAAATTAATAACTGGTATTGCCCCCTCTGGCTCGAATACAAGCTTCCATACGTCTGTGCATCCCTTCCAACAAGTGTCTTATGCCATTTTGGTCCAACTGTTCCCATATGTCAATTAGCATATTTCTAAGTTCTTCCAAGGTGTCTGGAGCTGGTATACGTGATTTAAGTTGTCTGCCCATCATGTCCCGAACATGTTCAATGGGATTTAAGTCGGGACTCCGGGGTGGTCATTCCATTGTCCCAATACCGACGTCAATAAGATACTGACGTACTGTCCTGGCAACATGTGATCGAGCATTATCATGCATAAGAATAAAATTGTTGCCAATTAGAGGTGCAAATGGAATGACGTCATCTTGTAAAACTTCTCTTATATACCGATCTGCATTCAATGATCCTCCTTCCACCACGACAAGCTCCGTGCGGTAGTCCGTAGTGATGCCTCCCCAAACCATTACCGACCCACCATTAAAGCTAACCCGTGGAACGATATTGCACTATGCGTACCTTTCTCCAGCTCTTCTCCATACCCTTTGGCGACCATCAGGTGATCTTAGGCAAAATCTAGACTCGTCAGAAAAGAGCACTTGGCTCCATTTATTTATGTTCCAATGAAGGTGCTCTCGAGCAAATTGAAGACGAGCTACTCGATGATGTGGGAGAAGTGTGTATAGAGAGGTGTGCAATTTGATAAAAGAAAGTTGGGGTAGTTTTTAAAGGATAGTAAAAATAAATAAACATTTTGAAACGTCATTAGAAGGGTATTGGGATACCAATAAAAACAGTTCTAATTTTTTTACCTCTTCAAATAAACTAGATACTGCATATAAACGATGACTTAGGACCCTGTATATGCATATTTTTTTAAATTATGCACTTATTTTACACAAAAATAAGTAAAATGCATAATAAAAGAAAGTACAAGTAATCATAACAGTTTCTAATAGTAAATATTTATAAGAGATTAAGAAATACAGTGGAAGACTTTACAAAAGCTTATTCATCTCTTAATATAATAAATGTAGGTGAATGAAAGTTTTAAAATAATTGCTTTTGAGGGAGGGGAGTCAGAATATTGCAGAATTTTTTCAAATGTATTATACCTACATCTAAGTGAAGAATATAAAAATGTCTTATACTTATTATTCTACCACAAAAAAGATGTTTTCTATTATAAAAAGTAGTACTGTAGACGAAATTTTATGGAATTTTATACAAAGTCATATCACTCTCCCTCTTATTGCAAAGAGCTATCTACACCACTGTGTAGAAGGCAAGTAATATAGACCATATTGGGATAATACATTGTTAAGTTGTGCCTCACTTTGATCACCAAATCCCTTTGTAAATTCTATATTTGTGTGTATTATAACTCAAGTGTATGAATGGAGTCACTGATATTAAGACCAAAGTTTTGTTACTATTGGTATTTGCTAAAAAATTCACAAAAATTGGACTAAAAATAAAGGCTCAAAAGGAAATTGTCAAGATGTTCGGTTTGCTCTTAAAAATAAAAAAATAACTAATTATTATAATTACATTTTAGGAGTAAATTTTCCAAAATGTTGCAAAGATATGTGTGAGGAATTAGTCATTAGTGGCTGGATTAAAAATACGAAGAAAGGTACAATCCAAGGAAAGTTACAGGGACAAAGGTCGAAGGTAGAGCATTTGTAAGTATTTATCTAAAATAAAAATAATTATATTATAATGAAACAATTGATACTGATAATATTAATTATTGCTTATTGTTTAAATAAAGGAGCATTTCTTGATATACCATCGATCCATTGGACAGTAAACATGACTTCTTATAGCTAACAAAGATATTCGCCATAGCATAATTGATGAATGTCGAATAACAAACTTCTGAAATTTTTCAAAAATTTTTAAAACCATTCAAAGACTACAAAAAATGTTAACCATATCTAATAATTTTATTTAATAATTCTGAAGTATTATTTTGAAGCATTTTTTTCATAGTTCATTAGCACGCTCGAGGAAAGGGTTCGTTATCTAATGGGTAGCGACATAGACCCAGTAACTTGATGAAGGGGTCACTGAGGCTAGGGGGCAAATAATAGCTGAAGTTTGCAACACCATGAAAATGTTAATAAAAAAAAACTTTTACATTTTTCTTAAATTGACAGGCTTGGGCTACTATTATTTCGAATAAAAAAAGCATCGCAACTCCCTTAATATATCAGCCTTGTCCTCCGGCAGCTATTGTTTGACAAGTCGCCTAATTGATTTTTTTCACATATCATCAAACAGAAAATATTGATTTTAAATTACAAAAACACTGTTAGCATGTGTTTTCTATAATTTAATTGATAATATTTACGATAAATATAAAGAGAGAACTCTCGAGAATAGGCAGTCGGCCAAATCAATTTATATTTATTTATACTTACGCCTAAACCATTAATAGTTTTGATATAATTGTACGATTATATCTATTGAACATATAATTGTTACATTTTTTTGCAGGGTTATGTGGCTATCAAACACGGGTTCTCCTGGATGCCAAATAGAACGCTGCGACCTTAGCAATTGGCAGACACTCGCCAAGCCCGATTACAAAGGTTTTCAAATTAGATTTTAGGGATAATGTACTTTTAGTATAGGTTATTTTTTATATAATTAATATTTTTACGGATGTTATTAAATAAGTATCGTTAATTGTTCTGTTTTTTTTTTTTAATAAACAATGTAATTGTTACTACATCGTGTGAATTTTACACAATAAATGTTTCTCTCTTTCAAATACTAGAACTTTCTTACAATTTTATGAAACAGAATAATTTAAATTAAAACTTTTTCGTTCAATAAAAATATCGCAAGGCTAGCAGATAATGATGTGGCACAAAGCAATGTTTCTTCAGATGATGAAGTAAATATTTTTTTAAATCGACGATATTTTACCTCAAATTAGCATATTATGTGCCTTATAGGTTCTTCCCTCGTATCAAGTAGAATGTAGACTGTATTAATAACTAAATAATGACTCTTGTAGAATGTCTTGATGCTTGATTAAAGGTGTTGTGAATAATGTAGGAATTAAAGTACCTTGCTTTTAATAGTATTGGGCTTTATTTGATCTTCTCAAAAGTTTGAACCCAATTTAACGACTTCATAACAAATAGTTGATTGGTGAAAATATTTTGCATAATAAACTGAACACAAAACATGCCGGTGGTAAATGGACACCTGAACAAAAGATACGTATATAATGGAGACCTATTTTGAATCGACTGTCACAAGGAACCGAAACAGCCAAATACATACTGTGCATCTGCGAGGCTGTGCAACCACAAGTTGATCCAAGAACCTATAAAACACACCATCTGGTCCAAGGGACGAAGGTAACAATTTGTCAATATGAATTAATATAACTCAAAAATACAATAAGCCGTTAAGGCTTTAGTTTTATCGGAGACTAATTTAGACGAGCCCAGGAAAAAACATAATAAATGACATACTAATTATGTACCATTATTGTATCTTAAATACATAACTTATTGCTTTAGTGATACATTCGCCACCTCTAGAAATACATGCTAACTAAAATTGTACTCGGCTTACTTGAAGAAATGGTATTAAATTCAACGTTTGATGCTATATTTGTCTATGATTCTCAAAAACTTTTAGTTGTGCCACAATTGCTCTTGGTGAGGAATATATTTTTCATCATAATAATATACTACAAGGTAAGACAATGAAACAGGATGATTTGTGACCGACACTGAAGACAAATTAGAGAAGATGAGGCGTGTCAAGTTCGCTTGCTGATGTACGAGTTAACCGGCAACCATGTTTTTATAAATGATGTTATATTAATCAGTAGGTTATTAAAAGTCACTTCATTGTACATTGTCGTTTAAATGCACTAAATAAACGTTTCTTATAAAAAGAACCTTATTTAAAGTAACCATAGCAAGGAATTAATAATAAATAAATTTAAGAAATTAACAGGAAATTACGGGAATTTCCAAAGAATTGTCGTATAATTTCGCGAATTTCTGATTAGTTTAGAAATAACGAAAATTTCTACGGAAATTTAGCAAATTTATAATTCATTTAAGAGAAATTTTTGAAATTTCCAAAGACTTTCCGGAAAGTGCCAGGTAAATGCAAGAAGTACTGATGAATTTTAAATAATGTTAAGAAATTGACAGAGAATTACGAAATTTTTTTAAGAAATAGCTGGATAATTTCACGAATTTCCGATTAATTCTAAAGAAATGATAGAGAATTGCTGGCAATTACGGAAATTTCTATGTTAATTGCACGGTATTTTCGATTTTACTGAAATTTCCAAGGAATCAATATGAAAAAAAATTAAGAAATTACCAGGGAATTAGGGGCATTTCCAAAGAATAGTATAATTTCGCGAATTTCTGATTAATTTTAAAAAATTGACAGAAATAACGAAAAGTTCTACGAAAATTGCGCGAATTTAAGATTCATTTAAAAGAAATTACTGAATTTCCAAGGAATTACGGTAATTTTCGGCTAAATGCGTGAAATGCCGGATAAATATGTGAATTGAAAAAAAAATTGAATAAATATAACAAATTGACAAGGAATTAGGGGAATTTCCAATGAATTGCCAGATAAATTTTCGAATTTTCGATTAATTTTAAAGAAATTTAAGGAACTGATAGAAAATTTCCGAAAATAATTTATAAGAAATTACTGGGAATTGTTCAAATTTTCAAGAAATTACTGCATTTGCCGGATAATTGCAGATTAATTTTAAATAAATTTAAGAAATTGACAGAGAATAGAATTGCCGGATAATTTCGCGAATTTGTGATAGATTTTAAAGAAATAATATAGAATTCCCGGAAACAAGATATTTCTACAGAATTCTGTAAATCTGATTCATTTAAAAGAAATTTAAGGATTTACTGTGATTTACAGAAATTTCCAACAGTGTGCGAATTTCCGGAAAGATGCGTGAAGGAGCCATGAATTTTAAGTAAATATTTAAGAAATTGATAGGGAATTACGGAAATTTCTAAGGAATAGCCGGATAATTTCGCGATTTTAGTTTAATTTTAAAGAAATGAGAGAATTTCCGGAAATAACAGGTCTTTCTACGGGAATTTTGCACATTTTTCGAGTCTTTTAAAAGAAATTTAAGGATTTGCCGAGAAAATACGGGAACTGCCGATGAAATTTAAGAAATTGGCAGAGAATTACGGAAATTTCTAATGAATAGCCGCAGAATTGCGAATCTCCGATGAATTTATAAGAAGTAATTGTCGGGAATAATAGGAATGTTCAAGGAATTGCTGGGCAATTGGACAAATTTTTAATGAATTTTAAAAAAATTGTCGTTTGTCAAATGTCATTCATCGAACACACTTGTCATGTATGTGGAAAATGTCAGAAATCATCAATTTATCACTTTTTAGTTTTATTTCTGAATTTCATACCATAAACTGTCAATTTTTGTTTGTCAAATGTAAATTGAAAATATCGTCCGATATAACTCCGGTAGACGGTACCACATAATGAATTTATTAAAAATGGAGGCAACCGGCTTTGGTCCAACGTCATTGGGTCTACAAGATGGAAAATTGTGAGATCTATTAAAAAAAAAAAGAATTGTACAACATTAAAAAATTAGGCGGTGTTACAAAGTTGTAATCTAGGAATGGCAACATAAAACATTCTCTACAATTTTGAAATAAATAGCGTATTTTTTTGCAGAACTTTCCATCCAATTTTTATTAAACTAAGAAAAACACTTAAGACTTTCTATAAATATTTATTTTATTAGAAAACAATCGCTTTCAACGATATCATAAACATAACTGTTCCTAGTGATTTCACCTAAAATCAATTAAACCATACCGTTAACAGTCAATCATACACACAAACAAAAGAAAATGCATTCAAAGTTATTTGTTTCTTGGTTTTTTTTTAGTTTTTTTTTTTGTTTTTCAGTTACAACGCCAATACAAAATGTGTGTTTTGTGCTTAGAAATCGGGAGATTGTTATACAGAAAACATGTTAATGAGATATAATAGCCGAATTAATAATCTAAAATCTAAAAGGGTTTTTGATTTGTACAGTTAACAATTTTTCGACATTCATTCGGCGAAATTCGGAGGCTACCCGCTACTGCAAACTTAGAAAAAAAAAATAGTAATCAACAATGCATTTTGTCGATAATTCAAACAAATTCAGATTTATACAATGTACAATTCAATTTCACTTAATTATAAATACGTTTCGATCTATTTGAAATCGGCATTATGCCAATTTCAAATTGTAATAATGAGGTAAAAAAATTGAAATAACATCAAAAGATTGTAGTGTCGTTGTAAAATCACATCAGCAATTTTTTTTACTAAAATGTTTTTAGAGATTAGAAATAATATCGAATAGTGACGTAACTCAAAGATTTAAATTTTCGAGGTTATTGTGAAAATGTATAGTGAAATCCACATATTTTATGTGGAAGAACGACATATTGTCAATTTCAAAAATTATCGTTTTATTAACCATCATTTTTGGAATTGGCAATAAGCTTTTGCGTTTTCCCCGTACAACAAATTGGCAAGTTTATGATGATAAAGAGAGAAACAAATCTACGATAGTCACGAGACAGGAAGGCCAATTTGCGGCTAGAATGACGTAAATCAAAATATGCCAGTTTTAATAAAAATTAACAAAAAAACATTATTTTCAACTGTGACCCAAGTAAAATTATGACATTGTTGAAAATCATTATTAATATGATGAGGAATATACTTTTCTATTCTAGAAGAACGTCATAACTCAAAAAGGGTTGAAAATATATTTTGTTTTTTCTAAATGTTATCAAAGCAAATTAGTTATTATTTGAGTGTTGTTACTATTGTACACCACAGACATATGAGAAAATGTAAATACTTCAAAGTAATGTTATTCTAAATCCACATCGAGTTTGCGAGAATACCGACGCAATTAAGAAATTCTCAAAATTGAATTAAATATTTTTTATTATTTCATACCTCAAACTGAAATTATTTTAAAAAACTTGCAGCTGTGTTTCAATGCAACATACGATGTTTAGCTGCATTACAATTTTTAATCTTATTTCTATCTAGTCACGTGATTTATCTGTCAATTTTTAAAATTTTACAAATAATAAAAATTAAATTTGTCAGCATTTTTGCTGCATTTAATGTAGCTGCTATTATAATAATTAATTTTTAATTCTTAATTAATTGTAAGTCTCATTTGAAATTGTCTAAAGACAAACATCAAACTACGTTGTTTGTCTTTTAGTGATGATTTCCTTAAAACAAACGATTCATAACTGTTTTATCACATTTCAGTTGTTTTTGAATAACTCTAATCTGCCGGTTATCAAAATGTCATTCACGTTATTTATGTGTAAAATATCAGGAAATATCCGTGTTCACTTTCGGGAATTTCCTATGAATCTTTAAATTCAAGAATTGGTAATTATCGGAAATTACGGGAATTTCCAAGAATTATAAAATTACTGATTTAAGGAATTCACCATGCATTACTGTTTTTCATGATGGTGGGTGGGCTTTTCCTCACCTGTAAGTCAAATGGCATCATCAATCATCTTTAAGTCGCCCCGGAGCGCCACGGCAAATAATAATAGCCGTAACTTTCCCTGCACAAGCTCAGCTTTTGGGGTTAAAATTCACTCGTAAGGGGGGGGGGGGGGTGAATTAGGGAGAGTATTATTATAAAGATAATTGCCGGAAATAATGGGAATTTCCGCGGGAACTTCCGAATTTCAAAGAAATTTAAGGAATCGTCGGAAATTACAGAAATTTCCAAGGGCATGAGGAAATTATTGGGTAAATGAGTGAATTGACAATGAATTTTAAATAAATGTAAGAAGTTGGCAAGGAATTACGGGAATTTTCAAATTGCCGGCAAATAACGGGAATTTCTACGGGATTTTCCGATTATTTAACAGAAATTAAAGGAATTGCCGGGTAAATATGTGAATTACCGATGAATTTTAAATTCATTTAAGAAATTGATAGAAAATTACAGGAATTTCCACAGAATTGCCAGATAATTTCGCGAATTGCTGATTAATTTTAAAGAATTAATGCAGAATACCAAAAATAACGGTAATTTCTACGGGAATTTCCGATTAATTTAAATGAAATTTAAGAAATTGCCGGCAATTACAGAAATTTCAAAGAAATTAGGGTAATTTTTGGGTAAATGCATGAATTGATGATGAATTTTAAATATATTTAAGAAATTGACAGGTAATTACGGGAATTTCCAAAGAATTGTCGTATAATTTCGCGAATTACCGATTAATTTTAAAGAAATTTAATGAATTGATGCAGAATTATGACAAATAGCGGGAATTTCTGATTAATTTAAAAGAAATTTAAGGAATTGTCGGGAATCACAGAAACTTCCAAGTAAATGAGGAAATTGTTAGATAAATCCGTGAATTGTCAATTAATTTTAAAGAAGTTTAAGAAATTGACAAGGATTTATAGGCATTTTAAAAGAATTACCGGATAATTTCGCGAATTACCAATTAATTTTAAAGAAATTTAAAGAATTGATGCAGAATTACCATAAATAACGGGACTTCCGACGGGAATTTCCAAAACATTTAAAATAAATTTAAGGAATTACCCGGAATTACAATTTTTTTTGAAATTAGGAAACTATTGAGTAAATGTGTGAATTGACTATGAATTTTAAATATATTTAAGAAATTGGCGCAGGGAATTACGGGAATTTCCAAAAAATTGTCGGCTAATTATGCAAATATTCCATTAATTTTAAAGTAATGATGTGTAATTATCATAAATAACGGGAATTTGTACGGGATTTTCAAAGAATTGTCGGATAATTTCGCGAATTACCGATTAATTTTAAAGAATCGATGCAGAATTACCGGAAATTGCGGCAATTTCCGATTAATTTGAAAGAAATTTAAGAAACTGACAAGGAATTATGGAAATTTCCAAGTAATTGAGGGAATTGTCGGATAAATGCGTGAATTGACAATTAATTTTAAATAAATTTAAGAAATTGACAAGGAATTACGGGAATTTTAAAAGAATTGCCGGATAATTTCGCGAATTACCGATTAATTTTGAAGAAATTTAAAGAATTGATACAGAATTATCACAACTTTTAGGAATTTCTACGGGCTTTTCCGATTAATATTAAAGAAATGTAAGGAATTGCCGGGTAAATGTGTAAATTGCCCATGAATTTTAAATAAATTTAAGAAAATGCCAAGGAATTTCAAAAGAATTGTCGGAAAATTTTGCGAATTACCGATTAATTTTAAAAAAATTAAAAGAATTATTACACAATTACCATACACAGTGGAAATTTCTACGGGATTTTCTGATTACTTTAAAAGAAATTTAAGGAATTGCCGGGTAAATGCGTGAAAGGCCCATTAATTTTAAATACATTTAAGGAATTAATAAGGCATTACGGGAATTTCCTAAGAATTGCCGAATAATTTTGCAAATTTCTGACCAATTTAAAAAAAATAAGGTATTGACTAAGAATTGTCGGAAATAACCGAAATTTCTACGGGAAATTCACAAATTTCAGATTAATTTAAAGAAATGCCAAGGAATTACGAAAATATCCAACGAATTGCCAGGTAAATGCATGAATTGTCTATAACTTTTAAATAAAATTAAGAAATTAACAGCGATTTACGGAAATTTCCAACGAATTTTGGAAATTCCCGGTAAAATTTAAGAAATTTACAGGAAATTACCACAATTTCTAAGGAATGGCCCGGTTATTGCGCGAATTTTCCAAGATTTGATCAGTAATAGAGCAAATTGCTGATAGATTTTAAAGAAATTGCATTGTTGGGGAACTATTTTTGAGCGTCAAACCGTAAACTATTGACTGTCGGATGTCATTTGTACCACGCAACAAGTCAATTATATATAATTTCTTTTTAAGAAAAAAAATCATTTCATAGGGAAAGAACAAAAAAATTGTTCCCAGAATTTTTCGGCTTTCCCGACCAATTTTCAAAAAACGAAATATTCCCGTAAACTACTCGACGTTCCGCAAACACATTTCGAAAAATTTTAAATTTTTCATCGGTTAAAACATGTCGACAGCCAAACAAAAAAAATGTCGGCAAGGCCAAGGTCGACAAAACGTTTACTGAGCTTATAATAAAAATAATGTTACGGTTTTTTCATGCTTGTCCTACGCGACCCCTGTAGACAAATCCATAGTAAAATTCTTCTGTGGCGCCGCTGGTTCCTTGATCTTGGTTTGCGCGCCAATAACGTTCGGCAGGGTAAAATATTACTTGCCCGTGTTTTTATTTGATGTTATTGGTTACATGTTATTCTTGATTTTTGTATAACTTGCAAACTTCCTGTTTACTGACATTTACTTCAATGCTAACCAAATTTTAGCGTTATGGTAAAGTATAATAGTAGCTTTTTGAATACTGTGATAATGTGATATTATTTTAGATCTCTAAAGACCCTTAAGACAAAAAGAGTTAAGCGATTTTCCACCAAATTTCCGGCGGTACCAGCGGAAAATTTAATTTGATTAAGGGAAATCCTAAAACTATTATTTACAACATTTATCGACTTTTCCGACAAATTTTTTGAAAAACAACTAAAAAATACCGTATATTACTCACAATTTAGCAAGAAAATTTTCCGGATACCTTGAACACATTTCCCAACTTTTTTGACAGCGGATTTCATGGTTTATCACTATACAGTTGTTTTTAAACCCCAAACCGTAAAATGTCAATTATCAAGTGTCATTCATAAAACGTACAAACTGTCAATTATGTGTAAAACGTCATAAATCATCAGTTTAAGGAAATTAATTTAAAAACTTGGGTTTGGTGTTTACAGCAACTCCTCCATTCATACGTATTAGTAGCTTATTTACAATTTTATTAATACAAACTTAACTTTTATGCAATTCACACGGTTTTTTTTCTTCTTCCAAGTTTGCACTCAGCGTTAAGCCTCCGAAATTCCATAGTCAAAAAAACTAATTTTCATCGCGCAACAACCAGAAAATAATAAATTACTTAATACCCAACTAAACAAAACAAATAAGTCTCCTAATTAACACGCAGTCTATACAAGTCTGACAGAAAACAAAATTATACAGATGTAAAAAAATATAATATAAAAAAAATATTAAAAAAAAAGTCTGGGTTCGCACAAAACACATTTACACTGGTATTTATACTCTTAAAACCAGATTTATTATGATGATACAAATAGAAAAATATCGATCTAAATATTTTTAGATTAATTACACTGTTCGCTAGTAAAATCGAAAGGCTAGTCCTGCATTTCCTCGGGTACCTCGTGCGGATTGAGGATGCCCGGCACTGACATTTCGATACGTCGTTTCTCCGCCTGCGCGGCCTCTAGAGCCCTCTCTCGTTCTTCCAAGAACAAATCTGTATCGTCTTCGCCAGTGAATTCCTAAAAAAAAAAGAATTATTTGATTGTAATATTTTATTTGTATTTGTAAACAGAACAAAAATTAAAAACTGTTGTTTTTATTATTGGCCAAATTATGTTATTTTCTACGGGAATTGCGAAATTTTTCAAATAAATAAAAAAGAAATTTAAGGAATTGCCGGACAAATACGAAAATTTCCCAGAAATTGAGGAAATTTCCGGGTAAATGCGTGAATTGCAGATGAATTTTAAATAAATTTAAGTAACTGACGGAGAATTATTATTTCCGATTAATTTTAAAGAAATTTAAGGAATTCGATAGAGAATTGCCGGAAATAACTGACAGGGAAATTGCGAGAATTGCTGATGAATTTTAAACAGATTTCAGAAACTGACAGAATTACTGGAAATATTAAAGAATTGCGGGATAATTTCGTGAATTTCAGATTCATGTTAAAGAAATTTAAGGAAATGTCGGGGAATTACGAAATTTCCAATAAATTGCGGGAATTGCCGGATAAATATGTGAATTGAAGATGAATTTTGATAAAATTTAAGAAATTGACAAGGAATTAGGGGAATTTCCAATGAATTGCCGGATATATTTGCGAATTTCCGATTAATTTTAAAGAAATTTAAGGAACTAATAGAAAATTTCCGAAAATAATTTAAAATAAATATAAGAAACAACTGGGAATTGTAAAAACTTTCAAGAAATTGCTGGGTAATTGCAGATGAATTTAATAAACTGACAAGGAATTACGGGAATTTCATAAGAATTTCTCGAGTTTCTGATTAATTTAAAAGAAATTTGAAGAGTTGATAGAGAATTGTCAGAAATTACGGTAAACTTCGATTAATTTAAAAGAAATGCCCGGCAATTCCAAAAATTTCCAACGAATTACAATAATTGCCGAGTATTGACGGAGTATTACGTAATTCTCAAACGAATTTCGGGAATTTTGAATAAATTTAAGATACTGGCCAAAAATTAAAGGAATTTCTAAAGAATAGTCGGGAATAACAGGAATTTTTACAAAAACTTATGATTAATTTAAAAGAAATTTGAGGAATTGCCGGGGGATTGTAGACATTTTCAAACAAATTTTGAGAATTACCTGGTAAATGTCTGAATTTCCTATGAATTTAAAATAAATTTAAAAAATTGACACGAGAATTACGGGAATTATTAAAGAATTACCGGATAAGTTTGCGAATCTCCGATTAATTTAAATGAAATTTAAAGAACTGCCTGCGAATTGCACACATTTACAACGAATTGCAATAAATGCCGAGTAAATGCGCGATTTTTCAAAGAATTTTAAATAAATTTAAGAAATTGACGCGAAATTTCCAACGAATTTCGGAACTTTCCGACAAATGACCAAAAATTAAAGGAATTTCTAAAGAATAGCAGGGTAATTGCGCCAATTTCCGATGAATTTAAAAAATATTTAAGTGATTGACAAGGAATTGCCAATAGAAATTTCCGAGGAATGGCCGGATAATTGCGCAAATTCTTGATGAATTTTAAAGATTAATTGTCAGGGAATTGTTTTTGAACGTTTTAAAACGCATCAACTGTCATTTATGTGTTAGATGTAATATATTTGTATCTATATAAAAGAGCTATGAACAAATACTATCGGTCTAAAAAACAAGTGAAGAGCAAAGCAACAAAAGATCGATATGAAAACAAGTGAAATGCAAAAAAGTAAAGAGCAAAAACAAGTGAATATTCCTCAAGAAAATTTATATTTTCTTCATAGAAAAATTATATGTAAAAAATCATTAATTAAAAATTATAGATGATGATTTCGAAAAAATCTTATAAAATTGACTGGGCATTTCGGCGAAATAACTGTATATTACATAGAACTATGGACGATTTTGTCGAAATCATACGAATTTTTAGTGATTTCCGAAATATACGAAATCGATAAAGATTTTGAATTGAAGAAATTATAAAATCAAAACCGCAAGTCGACCGGAGCTTTCGTTCTAAAAATTATCATGTAGGCGCAGATACGATTTTTTGTATTTAAGAACTAAAGAATGTTTGAAAAAGTGTAGAAGTGTTAAAAAGAGGAAGAAACGTGTTAAAATGGATAGGAAAATATTATCTTAAGGAGGTCCTTTCGCCACACCTCTCGCCTCAAATGTTAAAAAAAGTTATTAGATTACTAATGACTAAAATTAATTTTTTTCTAATTGTTGAAGTCCTTATTTATCTAATACTGAACTTTTAACTATACCTTACCTTGCAAATTTTTGAGAATTTTTTTTTAAAAATGTGAGTATTTGTACAGTGCCTCACGAGAAAGTAAGTCCTCAACAACAATTCTCAAATAATACTATTATTTATTGATTAGATGGAGTAGAAAAAAAACTAAAAATAAGTTTTTGAAATATTTAGATTTTGTTTTATACAATAAAATATATATAGTAAACCGTGGAACTTATTGAAAAATTAATATTAAAAAAATCACAAAAAATTTTCAAGTAACCTAGTTGAAAATTTTTTGTGATTTTTTAATAATAATTTCTCAATAAATTCCACAGTAACCTATATATTTTATTGTAAAAAACAAAACCTAAATATTTCAAAAACCTTATTTTTAGTTTTTTTCTACTCCATCTAATCAATAAATAATAGTAAAATTAATTATAATTCGAAAATTGTTGCTGAAGTCTTACTTTCTCATAAGACACACATTTAAAAAAAAAATTCTCAAAAATTTGCACGGTAAGGTATAGTTAAAAGTTCACTATTAGATAAATAAGGACATCTACTATTAGAAAAAAATTAATTTTAGTCATAATCTATTTTTTATTTAACATTGGTGGCGAAAGGACCTCCTTAAGGCTAAAGGTTGACGTTAAAACTTACCCTAATTTGTACAAGGAAATCTCTTAAATGCTCTTTGAACTGCGGTATATCCTGATCCAAATTAAACATTCCTTGAACGGTGATCTTAATCTGGTTATCCGTGAGATGCGGGAAAGCGGACTTCAGCAACGTAGCGGTAAATTCTTGGATATACAAAACGTTATCAGGCCTCGGGCCCAACTGACAGTTAACCCCTCCTATCTCGATCAACGAAAATATGTACGCCAAAATGGAAGCGTGCATCGACAACCCGGACGAATGCGAAGTATCCGTCACCACGGAGAAAATGTGCTGCAAAATATCAGTCAAGTAAGTTTGGTAAAAACTCGGCGCCGCCGCTTCGTGTTGTTCGATATTCTGTAACAGCTTCAAAAGGATCTGAAGACCGATGTCGGCCACGTTTCGCATCGTGTGTTTAAAAGCCCAAATGATGCTGTCCAAGACAAGCTTGAATTGGGTAGGCGGGATGTTGAGCAAAGCGGCGAAACAGTGATTGTTAACCGCTTGAAGGAGTAAGAAGAAATTGGTGCGGTGTTCCGGATATTCCTCGAAGTCCTTGTTGATCATGTCGAGAGTGCATTCGAAGACCGCGTCGAAGATTTTTGGGACCTGAAATGGATTGAATGTATTTAAGGTTTGTTCAGGTTTTTCAAAAATATATTGATAACTATCAGAGGACTAGTTGACCAATATCTCAGAAGGTTTGCATCAAATTTTAAGGAAGCTATTGACTATTGATTGTAGCATATCAAATGTCATTTATAAAATGCAACAACTGTCAATTTTAAGGAAACCTGAACAAACCTTAATGTAAAAGTCTTTTAAAGTTATAAAGAAAATATGGAAGAGCCGATTAATATATCTATACCAACGGTTCTAAAAAAATAAATGATAAAAAGTGACACAACTCTATGATAGACAAGGTCGTCAATTTTCGCTAAAGTGACGTAAATTTCACTAAATTGTAAGTTTCACCTGAAATTTTCTAAAGACAAACATCAAACTACTTTGTTTTTTAGAAACGATTTCCTTAAAACCAGCGATTCATAACTGTAAACTGTCAGTTATCAAATGTAATTCATCGAACTGTCATTTATGTGTAAAATATCAGGAATTATCTGAGTATCACTTTCGCGAATTTGCGGTGATTTTAAAAAAATTTAATTTGGAGAATATTTAAGGAATGCATCAGGGTAATTGCGCGAGTTACTGATGAATTTTAAATAAATTTACAAAACTGATAGAAAATTACTGATAATTACGGGAAATTCCAAGGAATTGTGAAATTGCTAATACGTCTTAAAGTCATTTAAGGAATTGACAGAAATAACGGGAATTTCTAAGGAAATTTTAGATTAACTTAAGGAATTGCCAGGTAATTACAGAAATTTCCAAGGAAATTAAGGAACTGTCGGGTAAATGCGTAAATTTCCAACCAAATTTAAATTAATATCGGAAATTAACAAGAAATTACGGGAATTTCCAAAGAATTGCAGGACAATTTCGCGAATTTCTGACCAATTAAAAAAAATAAGTTTCTGACAGAATTGCCGGAAATAATGAGGATTACACAAATATCAGATTAATTTTTAAAAGAAATATCGACGAATTACGAAAATTTTCAAGAAATTGCCGTAATTGTCGAGTAAATGCGTGAATTGATGATGAATTTTCTTAAATTTATTAAAAATCCATCATCAATTCATGCATTTACTCGGTAATTCCACAAATGTCCTTGACATTTCCGAAATTCCTCGCTATTTTTTCAATTTCTTTTAAATTAATCGGAAATTTATGCAATTTCCGGAAATTTCGAACGAATTTTGGGAATTTCCGATAAATTTTAAACAAATTTAAGGGATTGACAAGAAATTACTTAAATTTCTAAGGAATAGCCGGGTAATTGCGTGAATTTCCAAGTAATTGTGCAAATTCCTGAATAATTTTAAAGAATTGATGCAGAATTGTCAGAAATAACGGGAATTTCTACAGAAATTTAAGGAATTGATGGATAAATGCATGAATTGCCGATGATTTTTAAATAAATTAAGGAAATTAACAAGGAATTACTGGAATCTCCAAAAAATTGCGGGATAATTTCACGAATTTTCGATTAATTTTAAAGAAAATTAAAGAGTTGATACCGAATTGCCAGAAATAAGGGGAATTTTCGTTTAACTTAAAAGAAATTTAAGGAATTACGGGGTAAATGCGTGAATAGCCAATGCATTTTAAATAAATTTAAGAAATTGGCAAGGAATTATGAGAATCTCCCAAAAATTGCCGGATAATTTCACGAATTTCCGATTAATTTTAAAGAAATTTAAAGAGTTGATACCGAATTGCCAGAAATAACGGGAATTACCGATTAATTTAAAATATATTTAAGGAATTGCTGGGTAAATGCGTTAATTGCCGATAAATTTTTGACAAGGAATTATGGGAATCTCTAAAAAAATTGCCGCATAATTTCACGAATTTCCGATTAATTTTAAAGAAATTTAAAGAGTTGATACCGAATTGCCAGAAATAACGGGAATTTCTACGAGAATTGCTGATTAATTTAAAATATATTTAAGGAATTGCTGGGTAAATGCGTGAATTGCCGATGAATTTTAAATAAATTTAAGAAATTGACAAGGAATTACGGAAATCTCTAAAAAATTGACGGATAATTTCAGAATTTCCGATTAATTTTAAAGAAATTTAAAGAATTGATACCGAATTGCCAGAAATAACGGGAATTTTTACGAAATTTCATTAATTTAACAGAAATTTAAGGAATTGCTGGATAAATGCGTGAATTGCCGATGAACTTTAAATAAATTTAAGAAAATGACAAGGAATTTCCAAAGAATTGCCGGATAATTTTGCGAATTTCTAACTAATTAAACAGTTTCTTAATTATTGTCGGAAATTGCCGAGTAAACGCGTGAATTTTAAATATATTTAAGAAATTAACAGAGAGTTACGGGAATTTCCAACGAATTTTGGGAATAACCAATAAATTTTAAACAAATTTAAGTAACTGACAAGAAATTTCAAGAATTTCTAGGAAATAGCACGAATTTCCGGGTAATTACGTAAATTCCCGATATATTTTAAAGACATTTAGGGATTTTCAGGGAATTGTTTTTGAATTTTTGACTATTGACTGTAGGATGTCAAATGTCATTCATAAAACGCAACAATTGTCAATTTTAAACAAACCCGAACAAACCCTTAATGTAAATAACGGTATAAAGAAAAATATAGAAGATCTGATTCATATGTATCTACACCGACGATTCTTAAAAAAAAAACAACACTCTAGATGTGAAATATACTTCAGATCCTTAAATCTAAGCATAAAATGGACTGAAAATGAATAAATGAAATATAGTGAGATGAAACCAAATTACTTAGGGACGCTACTGGCCGGGAGATCTCATTGGGTAACGATCAAGTGGGAGGTATAGATGTAACTACAAAAAATGGAAATGTGTTCATATTCTGATTGCCCTTAAAATGATGAAATTTAAAGAATTTGTCAGAGAATAGGGGTTAATAGTTATAGACAGGGTAAGGATAACAGAACATAAGGACAAAATAGATGCTGGGAAAATGATGGAATTGTGACTATGTCCTATTTTTGTTGTATTAAAACGTATTTAAAAAATCACTTGGATTAAAAAAAAAACACCCTACATAATGCCCTTAATATAACTGTCACAAAGCTGCCAAATGACAAATATTGATGTTTTACCTGTAAAAACTTAAAATATAAGTTTTTCAGACGTTTATAATTGAGTTAACAGAGAAAATAATAAATTTGAAGAAATTTGGAATCCAAATTTAAATTGGTAGTTTAGAATTAATTATTAAAGACAGAAGAAACATTTTTTATTTTACAAACTGGCTACAGAATAATAAAATAATTCTATAAGGTTTAAATTTGTTCTTTATAAAAAAAAATAAGCAGCTGATGGGAATTTTGGTGAAAATAAAGAAACTTTGGTACAAATACAGGAAAATACATAATTAGGTTATTAAATTAGTGGGATAATAGAATGTAGAAAAATATACTCACATAAATAAAAAATCACAGAACAAGTTAGGACTCCAAAAAGGGTCCAAACAGCATGAACATTCCCATTAACGACGAAAAACGACAATAACACGAAAAACTGGCAAAACATGAAAGATGCCAACATTTTAAATATTATTTTAAAAAATGCCGTCTGTCTATATTTCTAATAATTCGACATTTAAAAGAAAGCTTTGCAAAATTCGCCATGGAAATCGTATGTTAGAACGTATAAAGAGCTATATTATACAAATACACAGTAAAAATTATTATACATAGATAAATAATGTTCTAGCGATAAAATGATAACAGTGTTATCAGAAAAAAGGGACGTGTTTACAAAAGTAGGACCGGTATAACTATTGAAAATTGATAAATATGGTTAAGAGTGTAAATTTCACTATTTATTTTTTATGCATTGGTTGATAGAAGTCGGCACATTATAATTTTCTATTTAAAGATAAAAAGGATTAAATTACGCAAATAAGATTGCATTCATGTTTAATCCTTTGAACAGATTCGGAGGTATTTCAGAAAAGAGTTGATATAAATGGAAAGTACAGAACAGATAGGTCAAGGTGAAGAGGTTCAGATTCAAGTAGAAGTTCGAGAAGAAAAAATACAAAGAAGTTTGAAAAGAAAATTGATATAAAAAACATGTTTCAGATATTAATGATGAGATTGGAAATGATAAGGAAGAGAATAGAAGTTAGATGAGACTGTAGAGAAGATAGAGAAAATAAAAGAATTAAAAACTTTCCATAACATTGAAGATGAAGAAAAGGCAAATAAACGAGTCGAAAAAAAACGAAGAAGAAATAAAAATAGAAATTGCAAAAAGAATTAATGATATTAAAAATATTAAAAGGGAAATAAGTATAAGTAAACAAATGAAGAAAAATCAAAATTAAATAAAAAAGTGAGAAAGAAAACACGATCAAGAATAAGCATAAAATAGGGTAAAAATAAAACAGACAGAATATTGGCAAATTTCAAAAAAACAATGAAGTTTTATATACAACTCCAAACGACCGAAAATTTACACTCTTGCACGATTTTATTTAAGTATACCGTAACCACCAACACATTCAATATCCTATTTCCACTTTACACAAAATTTATTAATAACTAATTTTTTTTTTTTGAAACAATTTACGAAAAACGTTAATTAAAACTTATTAATATAAACACAAAATACCGACATTACGAGTTTGTTGTACGGAATTCTGATTTTTATACAGAACAACGTAACTTTTCTATTTATAGTTTAGGCTTCAATTCGGGATTACAGCGTAACTGTTATTTATTTTGACAAAACTCCTAATGAAAACATCTGGATCGGATTAATGAAAGATTAAAAATGAACGCGTCTTGAACATAATATTGGCGGGAAACGCAATTATATAGCTACACGATACGTGTTTTTGAAGATATTTTGAAAGTAATAAATTCCTAAAAAAATTGTTGGTCATTTTATTACGAAGCAAATTTGGAAAAATCGTAGAGAATTGCATGTATTTTACAGGTTTAAAGAAATTGTGGGAATTTCTGTGAAACTGCCGGAGAATTACGGAAATTGCCGAAAAATTACTATAAAATTAAGATTTAAAAGAAATTGTGGGAATTAGAGGATAAATGTTCAGTTTATTTTTTAATCCTATTCATCTAATATATCATAATATTATTATTATTTATTAACGTTAATTAATATTTATTAACATTCATTAATATTCATTAATATTTATTAACATTTATTAATATGCAATATTATTTATTAATATTCATTAACATTTATTAACATTCATTTAAATTCATTAAATATTCATTAACATTAATTATTATTCATTAATAATATTCACTATGTGATAAAATTGACGTTTGATCCTTTGACAGTCATTTCTTTTTAACAAATTACTGATATTTTAACAAATTATCTCATTATCTTACCTCCAATGTGATGTGCCCCTCGAGCCTGTTTACGATCGTCGCTATGGAGCTCAATACTTCCGGTTCTCTGGCTACTGGGACGGGAGTCCTTTGATAGTCCAAAAGTACGGCGTCCAAAAACGGCGGTATAAAACTATCGAGCACCATGGCGTTGTCGGTGGATCGTGATATCCAATCGGAGATCAATTTGAGAGTTTCTTTTTTGACGGCCCTCATCGATTTGATGAGCGGTTGCTTCATTACAGCCTCGCCGTTCAATTGGATTGCTGCCGCTATGTTTTCGGACATGACCTATATACATGATCGTAAAAATGTATTTTTTTTTTTTTTGAAGAAACATTTATGTATGTAATACATAAGAGCTTGAAAGTATGCGAATTTAAATAGTTTTGGCACCACAAGAGACTCTTTTGTTGTCTTTGGTGTGACTTTAACAGGAATGACACAGTTACTAATGGGAACAAAAATTTACTAAATTAACTAACACAATTAGCGTCAAAAATATAAAAAACTTTTAAAATTTTTATAAAACTTATTAAGAAAAACTTATATATTTACTGTATAGTTTGAATTTAATCAATAAATTATGTTAAAACAAAACAAAAAAAATTACTTTAAAAAACACAAAAGATCATTAGAAAACTTACTAAAAAAAACTACCTACCTTAGAAAATAGATAAAAATTTAATAAAAGAAACTTATTAAGAAAAACTTATTCATAAGCTTCTAGTATCGTTTGAATTTAACCAATAAATTGTGCTAAAACGAAATAAAAGATACCAAAAAAGGAAAAACTTATCAAGAAAAACTTATTAAAAAAATATATTAAGAAAAAAAATTTGAATTTATTAAATAATCTTGAAGCAAAAAAAATGTTTTAATGTATTGTTTGAATTTAATAAATAAATAACTTTAAAAATAGAAAACAAAAACTCTTTTACTACTAAGCGGGTTGTATTTGCACCCTACGTGTTTTTATATTTTAAAGCGATTCTTTTTTTATTAAGAAAAACTTATTAAAAACTTGAAAAATTATAAAAAAAAAAATGCAAAGAACTTACTTTATAAACATTTAACATGTCCAAATATATTCGTCCCAATTGAAGAACATAAGCATGACTTAACGCCTTGCATGCTCTGACATTTGTTTTTAATATGCTCGCCAGTTGCTTAACGATTTCAATTTCTTTCAAGAAATCAACGTTTTTGCTGGCTTGACTGATAATGTCGTCCCACACCTGAAAAAACATCATCATTAACGAAAATGTAAAACTTTTTTTTTATAATTTGATAATCTCACCTGATTGGGTAATAACATGTATTTCTCGATAAGCGACTCCTGCGCAGCCGTATCAACTTGCGCCGAAATCATATAACCAACGGCTTCGTAAAAAGTGTGGACCTGTTGTTGCTGCAAATCGCAGATAATGGTGGAAATGGAAGCGAGAATCTCCTCGATGAACGGACACGCTTCTCCGATTTGCGTCGTAACGAAATGCCTCCTACACTTCAAAGCTATCTTAATAAAAGTATCACATGCCATATCTTGAACTCCATCGTGAGTTTCGTGCATAAATTCGAACAATTTATTTACAACGGTTTTCAAAAATTTCCAATGAGCTCTGAGAAACCTCGGGTACTGACCGACGACGTACATAATATTTGAGGCAATTATCGCTTTATTGTCCTTTCCGCGTTTCTGTTCGCAGAGGCCTAGAAGGTCCTTTATAACCGTAACCAGAAATCGTTTTTCATCTTCTTCGTGCATCGCTCCCGATATACTGCCGATCGCCCAACAAAGCGTGTTCAGATTCTTCCAAGACCATTCAGTTCCATTCACTTGATTCTGTAATTTGTTAGTCATTATTCGTTCTGTGTCCGTACAATCTAAATGGGTGAGATATACGAGCGTTTCTCTCATATTCTTGTATAAATTAATCGAATCGGTATCTTTCATGAACTCCCTTACTACCTCCCCATTGTCGTTTTCAACCACTAACACTTCTTCTGGTTTCGCCATTCGAGATATCATAATGTATCTAACTTTATTAAGAACTTCCTTGTACAAATCTTGGTAAAAATTGCAATAATCCTTTCCTTTGCCGATGAATATGGGCCGACCGTGCGGCACCTCTTGGTACAACTGAGACGCCAGATTGTTCCAATATTCAAGACAAATTTTAAAAATTTCTACTTCCTCCACTTCGGAAATAAGCACGAGATACCTCAGGGCTTTTCCCAATGTGTTGAAATGGTTTTCGGCGATGCTGCCGTGTTCTTTTAGAAACGTGCAAAGGAATAACGCCAGATTTTGAATGAAATTTTGCTCTTGGTCTTGCCCGCAAGCGTAAGCTGATTTGATATCCGTTTGAATGGGTAACATCATCTCTAATTGCGTCATCGTTTGTGTAAATAAAACGACGAACATATCGTCGTAATTGCTGACTGTAACTCCGGCGATTTCTGTTAGACATTTTAAAGTGACGTTTCGGAACATTGGAACAGTAAGGAATTTAAAAATCAATGTATTAATTAAACTAGTTTCGAATATGTACCCAAGAGGTATCCAGTTTAAGAATCTTAATAAGGTTTCTAAAGTAGCGTTAACAAGAGGGGGATTTTGGGAACTTTCAAGTACAAACTGACATAAATGAAAGATTGCTGAAAATTCAGAACACATGGTATCTTTCAAATGTTTAGCTTTAGTTTGGGTTATTTGACCGGAAGAAAAATCAAACAATTCTTCACTTAGAAGTTTTAAAATAATCATATTGTTCTGACATAAACTTTCATTAGTCTTGCTCGCCCCGACGATATCGGGAATGAAACTTTCCCAATTTTTAGGCCATTCTCTCTTCAAAACTTGTACTAATATCATATTTAACTTATTGAGATAGGTTCTGTTTGCTTCTAATACTTCTGGATCAGAACTCGTTTTTATGATCAAAGAAACAATGTATTTTTTTATGCCTTCACACTGATTCCTAGGCAATACTTTCCATCGCGTTTTAATCACTTGCTCCAAGATCTGTAGGGCGTAGTACTTTGTTTCTGAATTCGTAGAATATTCTAAAATTGTATCGACTCTCGTCCATGCATCTGGATGTTCTTTTAAAGCGGTTAAAACTTCTTGTGCAACCCTCTGTGTCTCACCGTTTCCTGCATACATACTTACAACCACACTATCTAACAGATTGATGTCTAGTTTTCGATTGAAATCTAGCAGAGCCGCGACGGCTTGATGACCTTGAAGTGCTGCCATTCTCACTTATGATTAACTTTTGTTTCTGCTCACAAATATCCAATCATTCCAACAATTACACCGCTGAAACAAACAAGGAAAATATTGAATGTTTCTTGCTACAATTTCGATTGTAAGAATGCTATTTTGGTTTAAATAACTACTTTACACCTATTAATTGGGAGCTATTTCTTGCAGCTGATAATATCGCTTCTCCGGAAGAACAATGACGCAAATGCAAATTTTGTTTTTTGAGTTAATTATGGTATAATTACAAATAAAATTGGATTCCTCTGGAGCAGGGATGTTGCGGATGCTGATTTTTTCACATCCGCGGATGTGAAAGCGGATGGGGATTTTTGAAGGCTCACATCCGCGGATGCGGATGTTTAAGGTCCTTTATAAAAATAGAATACGAAAACGAATGAAGAATTAAAACAATGATAAAGTATTTATTAACATTTTTATTAATGAAAATTAGTATTATATTATGTATGTATTCTATGTATAATGCTCCTATTTTTTTTAACTTCACTTACTAATTTTCATATTAGTAAGTGAAGTCAAAAATAGGAACATTGTACTTAATAAAGAGTAATATTGCCACCTTTTCTGATTCAAGGCGGTTACGCAGAGGTTCGTAAATTAAACCCGCGCTACTAAATAATTGTTCGCTAGGAACACTGCCTGGTGGAGTGGATACAAATCTTCGTGCTATCGGTGATAATATCTTGAATTCCTCTCGATGAACACTCCACCATTTAAGAGGATTTTCATCAGCATTGACTCTTTTTTTAGTGCGGAAAGAAAGTAATTCCTTTTTAAGTACAGCTTCAGGGCTACCATTTTCTGGTATTTCTTGACTCTCATCTTCACTTGACGAATCTAACATCGTAGCAAGGTCGTTTTTTAAGCTTGGCTTTCTGACGAAACTTGATGGTCCTGGTCATAGTTGTTTCATATTCTTTTCCGTGGGATCAGTCATTCTCAGGAAACGCGTCGTGCGAACGGCACGCGTCAATCGCCGGCTCCACCCAATTTCTTTCTTGTCGCAACTCGCCATTTGTATTACATTCGCATCCGGATGAACATCCGTATTGATTATTGCGGATGCGGATGTTTAAATCTATGCGGAAACTCCGCATTTGCGGATGCGAATATTCGCAACATCCCTGCTCTGGAGGTATAAAGACTAATGTTTGTACCTCTAGTGGTCGCTGGAAGGTCATTGTTCTAATGGTGGCTTTTAAACATTTACATTTCTTTTAATATGTGATTTATAAGAAGTCATTAATTTTTAGTAGCACCATTGTTCTTCCAGAGAAGCGATATAGACTCTGCTGGCAAATATTATAAAATGCAATAAGCTGTTTCTTGCCTCTAAAACGAATGAATAGTTCAAATTTTTCCCTATTTGGTCCTCAGCAGAATTAAAAAAACTACTATTTCCAGAGATTTAAAAAGTATGGGAACATTAATTATTACAATATATACTCTCCATATTAAGATCTGAATGTTCAAAAACGACAAGCATTTTTAACAGATACTTGTCTAACTAATCACAAGACAGCATCAAAGACGAGCTTTGTAGACTCCACACAAAGAAGCTATTTTTCGATGATGAGAGCAACTTAAACCCAGCATGTTTTGTGCTCAGTTTACTATGTAACACATTTTCAACAAATACTAGTTTTGTTAACCCTTAAGTCACGTATAATAGTGAATAATTTTTAAGTTATTTTTTAAACTATTATTGTTATAACATTGTAATTCTATGACATCTCAGAGGCATCTTCTAAGAATAGTTTATCTGGACAGTTCTATTTTTATTGCATTGCAAATAGTCACCAGTTATGTCAGGTACCCCTAGAATATGGCTGATCAACCCAACGCAAATCTCTTGTATATTTGGGTTTGAATTGATACAAAAACTATGTAAAAACAATGAAACTTTAAATATGAATAATTAAATTGAATCATTTTGTAGCTAAATATAAATTATTGCCTGTATTGTATTGAAGTCTTTTATCTGTTATTTAATTTAATTTTTTTTTAAACACTTTAAAATGGGTCAGGCATATGCGCCTGATGAAGGATTAGTTATACTATTTTCAAAGTTTAAGAAAATGAAATAGTCACTTATTATTCAAAGCAACTCTCTTCATTTTCTAACATCATCTACGACACCATTAAGACATTCTTCGAGGTGTCAACACTTCATTATCTACAGTCCATGGTTTACCTGGTACAAGGAAACATAAAGGACATGGAAGGGTAATTTGAGGGAAAAAAAAACACCGTCAACCTGTTGCATGGTCCTTCGAGCCGGATTTGAATCAGCGACCTATAATAATAATACTCTCCCCTTACGAGTGAATTTCAACCCCTAACGCTGACTAAGCGAGTTGTGTAGGGGAAGGGACGCATATTATTAATATTTGCCGTGGCACTCCGGGGCGATTTAATAATGATTGATGGTGCTATTTGACTTACAGGTGAGGAAAACCCGGAAAACCCCACCCACCATCATCGAAAAGGTAACGCATGACGATTTTTATGACCAGGGACCTATTTCATAAAATTACTTTGCAACTTTTCACTTTGCTCATTTTAGTAAATTTATGTTATAAAAGAGAAATTTGACAATTTAAAAAGTAAAATTTGAAAAGCAATTTGAAAAGTAAAAATGAAAAATTAATATTCTGCAAAGATAACGTTATAATTGTATGAAACACAAGTATTTTGCATTCGTAAATTTGCAAAGTGCAAAGTGAAAAGTTGCAAAGTTGTTTTATGAAATATGCCCCTGGATGTCATATCAACAGAAAATAAATTTCTGCTATTATAGCATTCATCAAATACTATACATACTATACATGGTCTTCTGTAGGATTCGAAGCCGGGTGTATATTATCCACAAAATTGCTTGCAAATGAATTCAAGTGCTTTAGACACCTACGCCACCGATCCGATCTATAGTTCATGATTTACCTGCTACAAAAGAAAAAACACCATTTACTTGTTGCATGGTCCTTTGATTCGGCTTTGAACCAGTAACCTAATCTACAATCCATTCTTTACCTGCTACGAGGGAACATAAAGGACAGGAGACGGTAATTTGAGAAAAAAGACACTGTCAACCTGTTGCACTCTTTATAAACAGTGTTTTGAAAGTCACATTTCTAACTTTAATAGAACAGAAGTAAAAGTTGGAAATGCTTTTGCCAGTTCTCCCACTTTATACACATAAATTGACAGGTTGGCAGCGGATATCACCGAAGTGGACGCGATACATTGGCGTACAAAATTATTTTATAGATGTTAATAACAATTTCGAGTAAATAGTTTAATAAATTGTGAATAGCTGTTGAAATTTTGTAAAATTATGATTTGAATATTATAATACAGGTTTAATAATTATTTATAATCCATAAATACATGCGATTGTCCGGTTCCGCCGATAACAATTTAAAATTACTTATTCTATGAAACGACACTGGCAGGTAAACATTACTGCGAAATTCTCGGAGCCGCCCGACGTGGTTTGACGTTTACCCCCTCTCTACCTACCAAAAGACTTTTCAACTTTTACTTTCTCTATAACCCAAAGTTTTTGTAATTATATTATAGAAATTTGAAGATCAAATCCTTTTTTGCAAATTTAATGTTTCTTGATAATAAAGTTGGGAATACCAATCAAGGAATTGCTGACTTATTTCCCAACCAATTTTCTAAATCTGACAGTGATGAATTGGCTGAAGACCCTTTAAATGATGATAACAATATTAGAAATGTATTCTTTCTCAATTGAGAAGGTTTTTAATGGAATTACTTTAGTTTAAAAGATAAATTAAGCCATGGTCCTGATGGCACCCTATTTTGTTATTTTTGTACTTAAAACAGGCGATAGATGTAATATACAGAATTATCAGGCTTACTAGCAAAACACACTAATGGTAGGATTCTGGGAAATATCCTATAAGCTACAGAATCTGTAAATTATAGTAATGTAATTTTTTTACAGATTTTGACTTACAGATCTTATAGAAAGTCTCAGAATCGACCCATAAGTCAGATTTAATGAAAAATCCGCTAGTCACTTAATGTATTTTTCCCAAACAAAATAATGCTATAGACTTAATGAATATGAAAATAATTTAAAAATAAGGTTATAATTGTTAGAGGACGTAGTGGATTTTACCAGTTTATAGAGTGGAAGAAATCCAGTAAACTGATCTAAATAAGTTAAAAAAAAATTACAGTGTGTTTTGCTTGTAAACCAACAATATTATTGATCATACCAATACTTTGACCAATCATTGGTCTTCATATTCTAATAAAATGATTAACCAAGATGGTTTTACTGCAGGTAGATCTACAGTTGCCAATGATCTATCAACAAAATATTCTTTCTAAATTTTATGAAAATATGCAAAGTTGACGCAATATATTCTAATTTGACCATGTTAATCACACTTTATTGCTATTTAAATGAAAAAAGGCCTTTCTGGCTTGGCTTGAAAGCTATTTAAAAAAACAGTTCAAATGGCAAGGATAACTGGTAGTCTGTCCATCCAATATAAGGTACCCTTAGTGGTTCCACAAGGTTCCCATTTGGAACCATTATTGTTCTTACTATATATCAATGATATTGAAGATATTTTACAATATACTAATTTTCTTTTTGCTGATAAAGCTATTAATGCACTGCAGATTGGCCTGTGAAGAACTATACGTCACTTAATATCAACAAGGTTATATTTGATTACTCAATGGCGGATTCAATTCTTAAACTTGTAAATAAGATACAATATTTAGGGCTGCTCTTAGATGAACATCTATCATTTGTTCATCATACCACCCATACAATAAATAAAGCTTTCAAAACCTTTGAGTTTTTTTTCAAGGAACTTAAACAATCTCTCAAACAGTTCACTCAGCTTATGTTAGGTAAATATTATGTCATTGTTAAACACAAATTTCTGAGATATTCGGCATTCAGATTAGGTTTAGTATTTGACAACTATCAGAGTCATCATCAGAGTGAAAACTGTTCACTTTGATATTTGACAGGAATTGTAAGATTTTAAAAGAAATGCTGCAATGTCAACCCCTTCCCTTCCACAATCCACACATCATTAAAAAGGTAACTTTATGGGGAGTAAGACTTTTTACTGCATTATTTTTAATTTAAGCCCTTTTAGATATACATATTTTAAAGTGTAACACTTTATTTATAAGCTAATTTTATTAGTAATTTAATGCACATTATAACAGAACATAACTGAATGAACATAACAACCATAACAATTTTATATGGAAAATGAAATGTCATTCTAGAAGACTCTAAAATCAAAAAGTACATGATTAATAATCATATTGCTGCATTTCCCACCAAATTATCTTTCTTATAGTATGTATGGTAGGAAAACCTTTATACTTTTTTTTTAGATATTAATATGTGATTTTGGTATTAATCCCTAGCATAACTAGCAATACTATTTATTATGCAGTTACAGAAGTCTCAGTTCTGACATGTATATGGGCCTAGCTGTCTAGAGTGTTAGAACTGAGTCCTTGTCTTATTTAAAAATGTAGATTTAAAAAAAAATGTGTGAACACTTAAGAGTTAAATAAATTTAAAAATTAGTTAATAAAAAAAATGGTGCAAATAGGCAAGCAGTGATAGTGATATTGGAAGATGTCAAATTTACACACAACTTTGTCCTCACTTAGTTTTATTACCTTTATTAACAAACACTTTTTGTTTCAAGATTTATTTAAAACGAATTAAAAATATAAAAATTTTAAGATAGTTGATAGGAACTTTGTTTTTTTTTTTAACAAGATATATAAGTAAGGAATAGTCATATTCAGTAAATAGACATAAAGATAAAACTGTTATTTCACATTTGTATTCAATTCTTTTAATTACTAAATTTTAAAATTTCCAAACTGAAAAACTCAATAATGTGAAATATCTCAATTTTCTATAATATATAAATTCAAAGCAGTGGATCACACACACAGTAACTAGATATTCCTATTAACTATTATCACATAGGCAACAAAAACTGATTGAAAGCAATAGCTAATAAATTACCTAATAAAGTATGGTAGCACTCATCATTCTACAATAACAGGACAGACTCCAACGGATTTATTTTTCAAAGATGAAGTTGTTAGAAAGAATAGACGAGACATACAAATGAAATATCTCAGTACTGGATAGGAGTGCAGAGGAAATGTAATCCACCTTAAAAAAGTTGGGTATGAGTAAATAAATATTACATTAGTAGCAAGTAATATTATTGACAATTAAAATGAAGTAGTGGCAATGAATTCATTATTATATTTATAATATTCTCTTGTACTCCTAGAATGTGTTGTGCTTACACTTAAAATAAATAAAGTATAAGTACTACAAAGTTTTATAAAAAAAAAACCTAAAACATAGTATAAATAGTAGATTTAACTATTAGCCAGACTCACTTAGATGTTTCACAATATAAACCCAGGACAACCTCAACACCTATCAAAGTGGTAAGATTGTCAGATTTTGAATAGATTCCCATTGTAGTCCCTAAATTTTCTGTATCTAAATCCAAGAGTTCTATAGTAAAACCATAAAAACACTTTTGCTTTGTTGCACATTTTTCTTAATAATTAGGGAACCTTATTAAAAATATCTATTAATATTTTTTTGCTTTTGCCTGCAGTTCTATAATGAATTTAGATGAGTGTTCTTTAAGGCTGGAGTAAACAACGCATTGATTGATTCACACAGCACATAATTTTACTTTAGGTTAAGCCATATTGCATAATCTAGAATCAAAAAACCTTTTAAAAACAATTTTAAAGTCACTGAAGAAAGTATTGCGAATACTTCGATATACTTAGATATTATACTTTTTTAATTCAAAACAAAGTGAATAAACAGGTATATATGTATGAGAGCATACAAAGACTCTATGTCACTGAATAAGGGTGAAAAATTAGACCAAAAATTGCAATGTTCAATTGGGTTCAACCAAATATGAAAACTTATAATTAGAGACACAATCAGACTAAAGTTTGAACCAAGTTTAAACTGGAACATAACTTAGTGGCCTGCTAGCTTTATTTACTCGGTAACACTTCTGTTGGTAACAGGAGGAAACACAGTTTTGCACAACAAGTAATCATCAAAAATTGAAAACAAAATACTTTAAAATGTAATCACTTCATTGCATTCTTATGGATTATAAAAACTATAAGGCATCTAACATATCCAAAACCGATTATATATAGTTTTTTTATTCAAATTTCATGTGATAAAAATATTTAGATATGTTTAACCCTAAAAACTTGGTTGTTGTTTGTTCGGTAAAATAACATTAAAATGAATGTAGATTTTGCTATATATTGAATTAACACTAAAAAAATAGTAATTTGCTTACTGTATATCCTTAATATAACGGATAAAACACCAAATTCAACAGCTCTCTCACAAAATTCTCACTACAAAAAGCGCAAAACCAAATACGACATTACAAAATGACGGTCGGTAAAGAAGACATCTGTCAATGTCATGTTAATGCGCACAATATGTCAATTCTGACATTATAACTGTAAAATATCGTTTATGTCGTGATTAAAATCTTTATTATTAAGAAAATCTCAATAATTATTTTAAATAAAATTCTATATGTTTTTAAATACAGATTTTATAAGGAAAATAGGCGTGTTACACACCGTGACATCTGTGAGTTGAAAGTCAAAGCTTATGATTTCTACAAATAAAGGGAATTTTTGGTGACCCATTTATTTTTATTTACATACGGTATTCGAATAATAGCGATTTTTCGCGATTCGAATGAATAGTGAATCGACTGAAACGAAAATATTCGTCTACTTTGATCATAGGTGACTTTGACTCGGCACAAAAGTGGCCATAATCATTTGATTTGAGAATATTTTCTATTCGGTACTTGCCGAATACCGAATATTTCTGTGCCCAGTTTTATAGACTATAACAATATAAAATGAGAACAGAAAACAAATTATAAAAAATAACTAAAGAGAAGAAGAATCGATATTTTTATTTTTCGATTCTATCCGATTGTATCTACTATTTATATAAAGTTTCTGTACCGGGTGTGCCCCATAAGTATCGGACGTTTTTATACCGGGTGTGCCCCATAAGTATCTAACCAGCTAATATCTAATTTAACTAAAAAGAAAAAATGTTAATATTAAAATATGATGTATATGGGATGCTAAATTCTGTTACAGGGTGAACTCTAATCAACCCCTTGTTCAATCCATTCCTAACATTTTATATATAACATTCACTTTTCATATTAAACGAAAGGTTTTTTTATTAATAGATATGATGAAATTTTCATTTTCATTTTAGTGATATACAGGGCGGTCGGCGAAACCAGCATATTTATGAGTTTCATATGTCTAAATTTTATTAAGACTGAAAATAATAGGTCCCTTTAATTTACAAACGACATACGTATCTTTTTGTTAACATATAAAATTATTATATATCTTGCGTTAGTACATTTTCGAATAATAAATAATAGTTATATATTCTTTTTTTAAGTTGTACATTCTATCTAATGGTAAAAATAATGAAAAAATTAAACTGACTGAGGGCCGATTCCACCGTTTTATTAAACGGAGATTAAAATGACATTGTTAATATTGAAATGTCATTTTAAACTTCGTTTAACACAACGATGGAATCGATCCTTAGGTACGTAAAAACTATTTCATTAGATAATACCCAAATTTAACTGGTATATGATTCTATGAAGTGGTCGTTTTAATCAAGTTAAAGTTGAAGATTAAATCTAGGAGGTGTCCAAAATAGAGTATAAGTGGAGAAGCATCAGAAGCCATTTTCCAATCTTCGATCATTCTGTGTTATAGAATGGAAATGGTAGCATACATATAACACCTGCACAAGCAATGGGACAATTGCCCTCTTTTAGTCTAATAACCCTATAGTAGTTGAAGCTTTTGACAGTTGATATCCAAGGTAAAAAATCGGTAAACACCTACGAACTCATAAATTGTTCTCCTCCCCCCCTTCTTGCAAAGGTTCAGAATTTATGCATAGTTTTTAAATTTATTTATCAGAAATCAAATAGGTTTTCTGCCCATGTCCTCTTTAGGAATTTAGAAATTTTTAACTATCTACCATTAAAATTAAAGTTAAGCATAACAATGAATTTATTTACTAATACTTGTAATTCAAGTTAAGCAAAAAAGAAACAAAAATAAGAAAAATATAATAAACACAAAAACATATCTATAAAAGTTATATAAATAAAAAACTAGAAATATTAAAATTTCAATTATATTTCCAACATATTACAAATTATTGGATGTTGTCGATCTAAAAATGAGATTTAAAAGTCTTTTCCTATTTTCATCTTGAAGACTAGGTTTTCCGGGAGATTCTATTTTGTGTGGTTCTGTTTCTGCTAATGTCATTTTTTTAATAATATCACAGTAGTCGATATCTGATGGTTCTGTAATTCCATTTTTTAAAGATGAATATTGCTGATCCTCTTTTAGACATTGTTCAGTGACTTGCTCAAATGTTTTTAAAATGTAACTAAAAGTGTATTCGGTAAAAACATTGTCAGTATTTTTTATAAAAAAAAAACGTTTACCCTTTGTTGCCATCTTTTATCCAATTTTGACCAAAAAATTTTATATACATCAGATTGCTCACAGGATATCTCAATTTGGATTTGATAAAAACCAGAGACATAATTGGAGCGATATCTTTATTGTCTATAATTGGTATCTCTAGTTCTTTTTCTGAAAAATTAAAATGTAAAATGATATATCTAGGTATTTTAAAATCACAAAAGTTGGTTTACCTGAATATTTTGATATTACAGTAACCAATGCAGATTTCAATTCTGCAAATATTATATCGTAGGTTGTACAGAGGCAATTCAATTTTTCTAATGGACTATTATATGAATCCAACATAGACAGTTCAACAATCTAAAAAGAAATAAAAGGGTTACAATTTATTTTTAACCGACTTCAAAAAAGGAGGAGGTTATCAATTCGTCGCGATATTTTTTTTTTATGTATGTTCATCGATTATTCTTTAACACGGTGTCCGATTTCAATGATTCTTTTTTTGTTGGAAAGGGGGTATTTCAGGGGTGGTGCCATATAAATTTAGTCAAAATCTAATAATTGGGTCCATGAGAAAATCCTCAAACTCTTCATTTTTTATGCATTTTTATCGATAATGCTTTGCCACCTTGTCTGATTTATATGATTTTTTTTTTTGTTAGTAAGGGGGTACCTCAGGGGTGGTCCCATATAAATTTGGTTAAGATGTGGTGATGACATCTGCACGTTTTTGAAGTAGGTTTTTTAAATTTTTAATTTCTAATACTTGTACAGTATCTGTATCTGTAATGTGTAAAGGGTGGTTCAGAATAGGCCTATTGTGCATCTCTCTTAAAGTGATGGGCTCCTCTTAGCTCGTCTGCCTACATATTTGATGTAGTTGCTAGCGTAAGCCGAGAGGTTCTTCTCTTATATCGGTCAGTGTTAGTCAATAATATATTCTCCGAACACATTTTAAGAGATGCATCTCACACAGCATATACTTTAAGTGCCATTGATAAATACACAAACATATTGGAAAGTGATATATCATGTAAATAATCTTGATTTTTAACTTATAGTGCAGAAACTAAGGGCCAATCCATACATTGGAAGAGCTCGACTGAACAAATCCAAATTCAAAGATTGTCCATAGGATTGTATATCTTAACTGGATTTCTAAAGGTCAAACGATTAATTACCGGCACTCCCTTGAGGTTTTTTCTCAGTGAAAAACGGAATCGACTTAGCAAAAATGTGTTTCAAAACCAATTTTCAGTTTTTGAATAAGGCAAAAAAATAATTACCTACATATTTACTTCAAGGCTTATGTTTATTTCGAAAAGCATGGATGATCAATCTATATAATTGTCTATATCATTGACCCTGTCAAATTACCTGGCCCACAGGTTTGCCATACCCACTGGCAGCCATTTTGTTTGTAATGCCTAAATGTGGATACAAGTCATGAATTCTTCTTCAAGACCAGTGTTGCCGTTCGTAGCGATTTGTCGCGAAAATAGCGACATTCTAATAGTTTGTGAGAGTAGCGGCGATTTAGTCTAAATTAGTAAAAATATCCCTTAATATGTTAAGTACCAGTGTAATAAAATAACAAAACACTATTAGTTATATAGATGATTTCAATTGACGCCATGATGTGGTTGCAACGGCCTGCTGATGGTTATCTGAGGAATAAAATCAGTTGTCTGCTAAAAACTAATTCCGTATATAATTATAAAGCATTTCAACAAATAAATTTTATAATTTTACCGACACACATATTTAAACAAATTGAAGAATGATTCAACCAGTTTATGCAGAACTACTGAATCTGTTCACAAATTAGTTTCAGACGGTCAGACTCAAGCTGAATTTTTTTTTATTTATTGATGTTATTTAAATTTTTAGTTTCTAAATTCTTTAAAAAATGTTTATTTTTAGTGTTTTACGCAATTCAACACATACGTTAGTGTATGTTTAATTGCATATTTCATCAATCAATAGGTTCTTTCGTTCGTCCCATTGGTGTAGGAATGAACTACACCAACGTACACTAAACCTTTCGTTTGGCCCGGTGTAAAACCCACTATACCTTCCTGTCGGCGATGTGGTGTCCACTGGTGGATATTTTCTCCACCAGCTATTTAACAGGAGTAAATTACACTCGACGATGTGTATAAGGAATAAGAAGGATGTAAATTAGGGTAAATAAGGTGGTGTAACTGGTGTAATTTACACTGCTGTACACTTCACCAATAGCGAACGAAAGAACCTATTATGTAGCGACAAAATAGCGTCTTTAGGCGAACAAAAATAGCGACAATGACAGATGTCGGTGCGGCAACACTGTTCAAGACAACTCACATTGCATTATTTCTCAAGTCAAGTATAACATCCTATGTGCATCCTAGTGTGTTAGACAATCTGTATGCATTATTCGCCTGACCTGGTTATATGTGACTTTTATCTATTCCCCAAGGTCAAATCTGCATTGAAAGGAAGATTTTAGACCGTTGAAACTATGAACGGTATTAGATCAATAATTAAAAATTAACACTGACAGTTCTGATTAATAAACGTTATTAAAACTTACACCCTGAGAATTATGGTATCAATTATAATACCAAAATCGAAAGTTGGGTTTATATGGGTTTATAGGGGTTTATATGGGTTTATAGTGGTTTGTAGGTGGTTATAGGTTATATGGGGTTATAGGGGATTATAAACGGGGATATAAGTTGGTTAAAGGAGGTATAGGGGTTATGGAGGGGTATAAGACTTTTACATTAAAATAGTATTAGTAGAAAAAAATACACACTTACTGTATCAGGAGTCTATAGGGGTTATAGGGATTTAAAGTGGATTTATGTGGAGTTCTAAGGGGTTATAGGGGATTATAGACGGGTTTATAGGTAGATTAAATGAGGTTAAAGTGGTTTATGAGAGTTATATGGGTTATAGGGGATTAAAGGGATATACTTTTAAAATAAAATAGTTTTAGTAGAAAAAATACACTTACTGCAGCTGTGTATGGTATAGAACAATATGATGTTTCATCAGATTCTAACGGTAATGTTTTACTCTTGCATAGTATTTTACCTTTTTCATATAATTTCTGATCGTCGGTGGCATAATTTGCTCTTATAATAGATTTTAAAATATCCCACAGCTTATTGTGTACCACACTAAAAGATAATTTTGTACATATTAATTAATAAATTTAAAATTGATGAACGTAAAAAAAAGATTATATTGATTGGAAGTGCATAATATATCATGTTTTATTATAACATTGTAGTTGATAAATAATACTTACCAGTGTATGGATTCAAAAATTTTATTATCATTTCTATTTCCAAAAAACTCATCTTTTATACCATATATCATATTATTTACATCTTCGATAATAAGTGACAGATCATACTGAGATTGAAATTTCCAGTTAAATACAAAATCTTCTATATCATTTAGAATATTTTGGTTTTTTGTATTCGATTCAAGGTAATATTTTGCCCTAAAAAAAGCGAAAAATAGTGTTTTTAAATATATAATTTTTACAAATACTGGTCGAAAATTGAAATTTAAGTCCCTTCGTTAGATAAAAAAATAAAATTGGTTTTTGCATTGGGTGGAATGATTTGAGGTCCTATATACAATTAGTCAAACACTTAATTAAATTAAAAAAATAACAAATAAATAAATCAGAGAATTATAAAAATCAATATTTGCAATCTACATTTTCCAATAATTAGAAATTATTAAAAAAAACTAACCACAATTTTGAATGTTCCTGTATAATATTTATGTTTTGTTTTTGATGTGAATATTACTTGTTTTTCATTTTTATTTACTTCCACTTTCTGTAGGATGTGTTTGAAGAGGAATGACTGTGTTAAGGTTTTTGTAAATGGTAGGTATAATAACTAGATAAATACCTCTATTCAAAAATAAAATAAATACTTACTGAGAAAACGTTGGAAATGTATGGTCATCACAGAATTCCATATTTTGATATCGATACGCATAATTATTGCGACTAATTTTGATTAAAAATATTCTCTTATCTATTGTCTATCAAAGATAATAAATAGTGACGCAAAACAATTCGTATAAATTCCTAATTATCTCAAATTTTTAACAGATTATCTGCCCACATCAGTGATAAGTTGATAGAAACGATTTCTTTAAAATTTTCCACTCATACATGGTAAATTAAAATCATTTTCTCCTCTAACTCATAATTATTGGTAACTAATTTTGCACCATGACTTATTTGTTAATAATATGCTTGCTCTATGGTTAATATAAAGGGCTAAAAGGTATTTTGAGAGAAAAGGGATGATTTATTATGTAGAATAATATGTAGGAGATTTTCAGATCAAAAAGAGTTGCAACATATTTGTAGTATCATTCTGGAGATCATAGCACTACTATATCGAATAAAATTTAGTAAAAACCGTAATTGGTTGTAAAAAATGCTATTAAATTCTGTAAATTGCTTTAATATGATACAAAATCATATAAAACGCTATAAAACAATATAAAATGATATTCAAGGCTATAAAAGTCTATATAAAATGTAATATAATGCTATAAAATGTCATATAATGCTATAAAATGTTATATATTGCTATAAAAGGCTATCAAATGTTATATAATGCTATAAAATTTGTATATATAATGCTATAAAATTTGTATATATAATGCTATAAAATGTTAGAAAATGCTATAAAATGTTATTAAAAAATCTGATGTGTCCAACACATGACTTTCCTATCTAGTTATAGGCTGTTTCTGGTTATTTTGTAAAACCTATTGCAGCACCTCTATAAATGTTATTTTCCACATACATCTAACTCGAAACATTTTTCTATAGATATTTATTGAAAACGAAAATACTGAAAAATTTAAATTTAGCACACGTTTCCTCCAATTTTCCCATTATGGTCCATTTTTAAAAAATCATATAAAAAACAAAAATTATAGAGATCTATATCGCAAACAACTTTTAGTTTAACAATTTTCTTAAAAATCAGAATTTTGCACATTTTGTCAAATTTCTCAAATACGGACCATTTCAGGAAAATTTGGCATAAAACAAAAATTATAGATAATAATAGTAGAAGTAACTTTTATTTGAACAATTTTCTTCTCCAAACATAAATAATAGATATATTCATAAAATATAAAAACGACCTCCTATAAAGTACCCTTCCATTCCGACTTTGTCCAAAATCTAATCATTCCACCTCAGCCGAAATAAAACTTAAGTTTAAAAATTAATGTTTTTTCCTTTATCCGTCTTTGAGTTTTCTTCAAAATTCGTAATTTACACATTTCCTCAAATATCTCGAATACGGTTCATTTTAGAGAAATTATGTATAAGATAAGAATTATAGAGAAATATATTATAAACAACTTTTATTTAAACAATTTTTATAAAAAATTATTTTTTTAGATTTTATCAAATTTCTCGAATACGGACCATTTTAGGAAACATTTCTATAGAACAAAAATTATAGAGAATAATATTGTAAGGAACTTTAATTTGAAGAAATTTTTTCTTCAAACGTAAATAACAGATATATTCCATAAAATATAAAAATGACCACCTATAAAGTACCCCACAGATGTTCCGACTCTGCCCAAAATCTAATCAGTTCACTAGAGGCCCGAATAAAGCTTAAATTTAAAATTTTGTGTTTTTCTTTGTTTCCATTCATGAGTTATCGAGGATATAGACACACACAGACATCATCGCGAAAATAGTCAAAACGTATTCAAGGGACCCCAAAACGCAAAAAATCGTCGAAAACTCGAAGACGAAATTATCTGTATACAAATAGGAGCGTAAAAATGCTATAAAACCACATTCGGTTTTTCTACTCCCTTATCCCTTAATTTTTATTCAGATTCTTTTTCAGAATCAATAGGCTTCATCTCCTTTTAGAGATTGATTTTCACTAAAAATTTTGTGTTGATATCGCTTTTCGTTTTTGACTTATGGTGTGGACAAAAAACGTAATATTGAATAGACATTTTTAAAAGTTGTTTCAAATTTGATGAGAAGTATTTTGATACAAAAATTTTTAAGTTTGAATCATTATCAATTTTATTTGATTGATTTGTATAAAGTTAAATCATGTAATATGATAATAAATATTTATACTTACTTTATTAAATTCATTAATATACAATTTTTACAACAGCGAACACTGAATAATAAAAAATTGATTTCAGAAATATAACACAGGGGGAATTATTGTTGTAATGCGCTCATCTCTATAGCAACCATTATCAAAACAAATCTTCTGTCAAGAAGCGGTATTTTATTTTCTTCAAATGGACTTTAAACAAAGTGCAACTTATTTAGCAAAAAACATTTTTCCTGATCTTCCAGAACAGACGGATTCACTAGGTAATGTTTAAAGAATATATTTTTCTGATTATATGAATATTATAACTATTTTTTTTGGCAGATAGAAGAGTCCTTTCTAACTTACCTTTACAAATGGCTTTATATTTTAATGTTGTTTTTGTACCTGTTTGGATTATTGTGATACTTCTTTTTTTGGATAAGAAGGTAAGCACACCTAAACATATATGTATATTTATTTAAATTTAAATGAATCTGTGTACATCATTGTATTTAAAAAATGAGATCTTAAATAATAAATAAGAAGAAAATATCTTAAATTTTGCACTTTGTGTCATTCTTTTTTAAAAAGGTTGTTATAATGAATCTATTTCATACTTTTAAACTGTATAGATCAGTGGCGTAGATATATTTTTGAGGAATATGACTTTGAAGTTTTGTTGTATACATAAATATACGTAGTTGACGAGCCATTTATTTAAAATACTCGTTCACTCATATGCGAGGATTGATCCCTTGATTCCCTCTTTCTGTCTATGCTACTATAAATAGTAGCAATTGTTAAAATCAATGCAATATAATAGTAATTTGTTTTAGTACTCTTCCTATGATGAGCTTTACAGATACATCACTGTTACAGTTATTTGTACCACACTGTTTATAGAAGTATTGCGACTATATTTGGGATACGAAGGGAATCTTAAAGATAAAGTAAGTACAACATATATATTTTTTTATTAAATGTTTTTAGCTATAAGTCATTCATCTGACTATAAAAGTGGCACGTGGAATTTTTTGCCTGCTGTTTGTAGTTGTACTATGGTGATGGTACACCGAGAAAACGAGGTTTATTAAATATGTTTAATAGAAAAAAATTTAATTGTCACTAACAAATTACTTCATTTTCGGTTAATAACATAATTAAACGAATGTTGCTGGAAATGTATTAACTTGAAACTGCTGTAATTAGTCAATTGTTTAATAACCAATAACATATTAGTAAACACTTTAATACCCACTAATTTTTCGATTACTATTAAACTGATTTAATGGTTCCTATTAAACTCTTTAATAGCAGTTTGCTAATCATAAATAAATGTTCAATAACCACAAGTAAATTTTAACGACTGCTATCCTCTTCATACTACGTGATGTAGATTAACAAGCTTAATAATCATTCGCGCCATAGCATGTAATGAGGAAATAACTCTATTCTTACGAAAGTCAGTGTACTTGTGTGGTACTCATATGAGTAAGTCGTGTTGAAGTGAGTTTTAAAGAACTAAAATAATCGATTAAAAGAATTATTAAAGAATTGGACATGGCGGTCGTTGTTTTGGTATGTCTTTTCTAACTAATACGAATTGTATCCATGCAAACTGTTTGTAGTACTCCACTTATAAAGTTTATTATATTAGTAGGTGTTAAATTTGTGTTTCTCTGGATATAAATTTTCAAAATTTGATTTAGTTTCTTTTTTTCTAAAAAAATTAAGGAAGTCTTTAAAAAAAATGAAATTTTGTAATTTTCTTCTACCAAGTTTTGTAAAAATTGACCCTCAGTCGTCCAGATATAACCTTTATATTTTTTTCTCGAACTAAAAATAAAAAAGAGTGGGGTACTAACCTAAGGTTTTTATGTGGTTATATTGTATATATTGCCAATTTTTGGGGAAGGAGATATTTTTGAACGACCTTTATAAAACTATTTAATAATCATAATTAAAGTGGTTTAATAGACAGTATTAGGACCTGCAAATATCTAGCATTAAAGCCATTAATAACAGATATTAAATTATCAATATTTGTGAACTAAATGCTATTAAGCTGTTTAATATCTATCATTACCCTGTTTAATAATGACTATTAAAGTATTCAGTTCCTCTTAATAAACTGTATAATAACTGTTATCAAATTAATTTACTAATGATAAGCAAAGTTTTTTATTTGTTTGCTTGTGATAGCGACACTGATCCAAAAACAAAAGTTTAATATGTGCTATTAATCAGTTTAGCTGTCTCATATAGTATTAAAAAATTTAATAACCTCTGTATTAAACTAGTAGTTTTTTCTCGGTGTAGCGCTATCATGTGACTTGTGAAATTCAAAGTAGAGTTACTGGCAATGAAATATATGCTTCTAGACGTCAATAACAGTAAAACAATACTTTTTTCACGCATTTTTTATTCAGTATAGTACTTTTATTTTCCTAGGGTTTCGAAAAAAAAAAAAAAATATCAAAATGGTCTCTGCAATTTACTTTATTTAAGGGAACAAACCATAAAAAAATATTTTTTAAATAAAAATGTTCCTTAATTCTTCTTTGACTTCGCATTCTATCCCCACATCCAACAATATCAAGACATTGATAATACTATTTTCGTTTAATAAATTAAAAGAGAACACTTTCAAAATACACAAAATATTTATCAAGGCAAAAACTTGGTACAAAAAATGCAACAGCTATTTCCTTTCCTGCTCAAAAATAGTCCTAAGTTCCAGTTTTTTCTAAAAATATAAATTCCAACGAAATTATCACAAATAATAATAAAAAAATAATAAATAAAAATGATATAGCTAATTATTTTAACGACTATTTCTCTTCAATAGGAAAAGAAATGGCACGTAAAATAAATAAACCTAATACCACAGCTTAGACAATACAGCTCCACAACTCCGTGTCGGCGTCTTTGATCTGGCGGTCGAGAACCAAGCAAGACGGAATGGTGCTATCTCTGTTAGATTCGAGGGAAAAGTCGGGCCCGGATTAAACAATTTTTTTATTATTGAAAAAATTGAAAACCTTGGCGTAATAAGGTTGGTCACATGCCATATTAAGTAAGTTTTGAGAAATTACATTTTTAATTTGTTTTAAATCTTTCAAATATAATTAAAAAAATTATTTAAATATAAATATTACGAAAAATAGCACATCTTTCGGATTAGAGGTAAAATAATTTATATATGGCTAGTAAAATCCTCGTTAACAAATGTTTTGAGCTAAAACAGTCACTTCACGACAAATTGTGGCTTGGGTCCATTTTACACCAAGGGTTTCAATTGTTAAAGAATTGTGTCACGCTCGTGGATGCAAATCAAGTGGTACCCTCGTGTCTCTGGCAAGTGTTACTCTTCGCGCAAAGGTTTTATACCTAGATAAACGAATGCTTCGACTGAGGTCTGGGAACTCTATGGTATTTTGGAATTATAAAGAATGTGTGCTTTTGTTTTAACAATATTGGTTATATTTAGATGTATTCTTATTATTTGAAATACAGATTTGTAGAAGTTATACTTTGACAATTTTTATTAATATAATATATTCAATTTTTATCTGACCATACCGAAGTAGGAAATTTTAAAACTTTATAGTAATGTAAAATTTGAATTACAATATATAACATAACAAGATATAACATAATTAGTACTTATTTTAGGTAGGTACTAAATTTGTACTTGGAGAAAGTAATATCGATTTTTACAAGAAAACTTGAGAAGTAAATTAATTTAATTCCTATTTCTGATGTAAAACTTAAACCAAGAAAACAAATAAATTGTAGTTTGTTCAACAAGGGTGGATATGATAGCCATATCACACAAAGACGAAGTTTGAGCACGACGTCGTAGGCGGAGAACTCAATCGTCTGATTGTGATATGAACAATCTACTCGATATGGTCAGAGACAAAGAGTCACCAAAATAATAACAGTACCTTTAACTCAAACAAAATCAACGAAATTATAGGCTCCACGAAATTATACAATCAACGAAATTATACGCACGACTCAACACCTTACCTAAGTACACTTCTGAACGCCAAAACCGTCTTTTCCCTTCGAAGGCGGAGCTTAAGCGATGCGCGACGAAATCGACGCAAACCGTTGCCGCCAAGAGAGTGTTTTAGCTGTATTGTATAAGCTGTGCTAATAATTTTACTATAAAACGAAATATAACTGAACATAACATATTTTTCCACCCTACTGACTCAAATGAAATAGAAGCCATTATAAACGAACTCAAAATTAAAAAATCACCTGGCGATGACAATATCACTGGTAAAAATCTTAAATTAATAGTAAACTACATTAAGCATCCACTTTGCTACATTGTAAATAAAATGTTTGAAAAAGGCGATTTCCCGGATATATTAAAAATCGGAATTGTAAAACCGTTATTAAAAAAAGGCGATCCAAAGTATTCAGAAAATTACAGACCCATATCTCTTGTCTCAAATGTTACGAAAGTTGTTGAAAAAATAATTAAAAAAGGAATAGTAAATTACTTAGAAAAACACATGTTGCTATCGGAGAAGCGGTTCGGTTTTAAACAAGGGATGTCGACAGATGATGCAATAGGTTATCTGACTAATAACGTTTACAAAGCTATTGACGATAATAAAGCTACAATATGTATATTTCTCGACCCAACAAAAGCCTTCGACACAGTGTGCCATATTAAGTTGTTAGGTGTGCTCGAGGACCTTGGTATAAGAGGGGTTCCATTAGATTTTTTGTTTTGTTTTGAATTAGGGCTTAAGAATAAAATATTAAAAATGTTAAAAATGGTTCCTTAAAGTAAACGCAAAACTCACGCACAAATCTCTCCTTAAGATTTCAGTGGGTGCTCAGTTTATTTTCCGCAACTATTTAAATTTACTATTGTAAATCTGTTTTTATTTTTATATTTTTTTTTTGTGAAAAATAAATTATTATTATACACATTTAGGGCCGATCTTTTCGCCTGTGAGTAAAGTTACATGTAGGTTTACTTGACAGATTAACAAACAATAGCCCTATAGTTTACAAGTAGTTACTTTCAACTTTACTCAGAGGTAAAAAGATTGCCCCTTATTAACCTAATGTTTTATTTCAGATTCCAGAACTAGCAGGTTTTTGGATGCTCTCAATTCTGCTCCAGTTTCCTCTACAGGGATTTTTACTTTTCAATCCACATTTCGACATGTATGTACTGGAAAAAATCGTACAAAGCGTTATATTTGCCTTGCTTTGTATCCAGATAGTTTCAGGATATTTTGCCTTAAAATATATCGCTCTGCAGCAATCCGAAATATACCAGAAGAAGCAAAAATTTGAAGATAATCTTGCAAAAGTTTTAAACGATGATGAAATAAATAATGAGAAATAATTTATTAGTTTTATTTCTATTTTAATACAATATAAATATAAAAAAAAGTTCGTAATTTTCTAAATTATACTATTTTTATAACCAATATATGCATTAAGTATAATATATAATAAATTGTACTCTTAATTTGCTTTGAACATTTTATTTTGAGATGGATTATGATCGCGAATAATTTTTAGTGGAAATTTTGAAATGCTGATACAATATAGTATAATAAAGGTATTTTAGCTGTTTTCGCATCATCCATTACACCAAATTTTGTTGTTAATACGTCTCTACTCAGTCTTTCGTTCTTTTGGCCAGATTCTGCAAATAAAAAGAAGAATTGAATAAGATACATTAGTGTTATCGGTTAAACCCCCGAAACCCTCCGTGGCTACGTCACTGCTTAAGTGGTTAGAAAAAAAAGGTATGTTCAAACCGCCAAATTATCTATTGCGCAGAATTCTAGTCTTGTTAACTGGTTTTGCCTAACGGTCAAAATAACTATATTACCTGCTGATAATATTTGTTCCGTATACAGGTACCCATTCCAAGTCAAATATTCTCTAATCAGTTCGTTTATGAGTTTAGTTTCTTCAGGTACTTGTGGTGGATCGCAATTTTCGAAACCGCGATTCAAAATTGACATAACAGCTGCTCTAATTTCTCCATTCACTCTACCCAGAGTTCCATCTTTCTCCAGAGATTCTTTAATTGCTAAAATAAATTCAAATCAATAAATCTAGTAAAAATGATCATAGAAAAATTGTCAACCATTTCTTGCGCTGGCTCAAATTGTTTAATTTGGAAAATAAATCTAGAATTACAAGTGTAATACGTAATATGTATGAGAGTGTAGAATTAGATAATCCAATGTCCTGTCAGAATGGACAAAAATGGTCGATGCTTGGCAAAAACAACAAAGTTCGTTAACCTGACTTTTTCATTAGTATTTGAGTGTTATTGTAAATCATACAAATAGTATTCATATAATCTTAACAGATACTAAATTATGCCATTTTTCAACTAAATACACTGAAAAAACTCTAAACACTCAAAAAAAATAACTAAAAACTTCACTAGAAGTATTTTTGTCAAGGGAAGCACCTACTATTGTTGTTTTTACCAAGGGTCCACCAAGTCCTGTAATTTGGATTGCCAAATATTCGGTGTCTTACAAGATGAAACACCTTATTCCTCTACTCTTTGCTCCATTTATTTTTGATATTGATAACTTCTTTGCAACTACAGGCACTAAAGGTGTTTTTATCGGCAATAAAACGATTTTTCAGAAAATTTAAAATATTAGAAGTATATACTTTAATAAACTATGTATATACATTAAAGACAAAAAACTGGACTGGTGTAAAAGGTAATAAACCCTACTTTTTAACAATAAGTATCAACCAAATGATTATTTTATACATTTTTTGAGTCCTAAAACAATATTGCATACAAATTAAAACACAAATAATATTTATATATTTTTTAACTTACCTTCAAGTAAATCATTCTCTGACGATTCAGTCATTTTAAAATAATAATAATATTAATAATAATAAATCGAAAATAAACAATCAGTGGTAAAATTCACTGCTTTGACAGACCTTCAAAATGATTGTATTAGTCCGTTGCTACGTAACCAAATGGATATGTATCTGTTGTAATTATTAATAAGGGGTGAACCAAAACTCTTGAAGCGTAAAGGAAAAAGAAAACTAGGCAATTTTTATACAAAACCAGAATTAGTACGTGTAGATGAGGTAATACAAATAAAATAAATGCTGTTTTCCATTAGTAGAGGGTGATGTTGCTGTACTTTATTTTTGTTAAAGGGACAACTTGATTGGGTAGAACTAAACATTGTTTCTTAGTATAAAATGTCCTTATAAATTACGAATCAACCTCTAAAAACATTTTGAACATTAACTATGTTCAATTTATTACTTTTAAGGACTTCTTTTACTTAATTTTAAATTTGATACTTAAAATTTCCTCTTGCTAACAACATAAGTAGTCGGTAAATATTTTTTTTTAAATCATAACTAATTGTTATTTATTGTTTCGGCCTTTACTTGATGAAAATCCATTTAATTTTGAAAGAGTAAAACCAAATTTGGTAGATTTTCACACTTTTATTTTAAAAATAAAATTTAAAAAAAAAACACTAACATGACATATGTTTCGAAGTACAACTTCTTTTTCAAATGTGACTATTTACAATTCGGTATCCAATATATATACGAAATAATTTAACAAAACAAAGTACTTAAGAAAACATCAATAACATTACAAAATAAACTAACTATTTAAAGTAAATAAGGGTACTTAGGTAATTATAATATCCATCAGATAACAATAAGATAGCCCATTACCGGGATTATCTCACAGAAAACTGGGAAAGAGATTTAATAAGGGTGAATTATTAATATCTAATTGATCATTTAGTAAGTTATCTGAATTTTTAAATCTATTTATTTCAAGTGTTTCTAAATGGTTTAATTTAAGGCTCTTATTTTCTACATGTAAAAGAATGATTTTCAGCTAAAATATGATTTGAGTAAGTAGAATTATTTTTGTTTTTTGTATAGCTATTATAATGTTCGGAATAGCGTTTTTTGAAAGTACGGCCTGTTTGACCAATATACAATTTTGGACAACTACCACAATTTAATTTATATACCCCCGATTTATTATTAGGATTAATTTTACCCTTATTGTTTTTAATATACTTCCCAAGCGTATTATTGGTTTTAAAAGCTACGTTAATATTTTGGTTTTTTAAATATGATGATACCTTTTCACTAGGAGCTCCTATATATGTAAGACTCTTATATCTGCAATTTGGATCTTTAATTATGGGATAAACTTGTTGAATAGCCTGTTTAAAAAGTGTTTTCTCTAAAATGTTGTCTACTAACTTTGAATTAAAATTATTATTTACTGCGATTTGTTTAATGATATTTAATTCTTTTGTGAAGTTCTCTTTGGTAAGGGGAATATTAACTAATCTATGGATCATACTGTTGTATGCTGCCAGCTTTTGTTTGTATGGATGAGATGAACTATTATTTATTGTAATATCCGTATGTGATGGCTTATGAAATATCCCAAAACTATGGCCTCTATTATTTTTAATAATATTTAAGTCTAAAAAATTAATTGAATTATCCTTCTCTATTTCCATAGTAAATTTAATATTAGGGTGTATAGTATTGATAAAAACTAATAAAGAATTTAACTGTCTACTAGTACCAGTAAAAGCAGTCAATATATCATCAACATATCTATGCCAATACAGACAATGTTTACTTAAATTATTGCTATGAATTTTATTTTCTATATTATCCATAAATATTTCTGCAAGCAACGGGCTTAATGGGTTCCCCATAATAAGACCTTCATTTGCTGAGTAGATGTTATTTTGAAATTGAAAATAATTTTGTTTTAGGCAAATGTTTAACAAATTTAGGATTTCTTCTTTGATTATAATATTGACTTGATTACGATCTAATAAGTTTTCTACTAGCTTAACTGTTTCTTTAGGAGGTATACTAGGAAATAAGTTTGTTACATTACATTACCAAATTTGGTTTTACTCTTTCAAAAATAACTAATTGTAACTTTTTAGAGTGGGTAGGTACATAACCAATTTACCTAAAAATTAATATGAATTAGTTCTTAAGAAGGTAAATCACAATATTAAAAGCATCTTTTGGCCTTGAACCAAGCATTTTATTTCAATATATGTTATACATACCTATGGTATAAAAAATAAGTATTAGAAATTAAAAATTTAAAAAAACGACTTTAAAAACGGGCAGATGCCATCACCACATCTTAACCAAATTTTTATGGGACCACTCCTTAGGTACCCCCTTACTAACAAAAAAAGAATCATATAAATCGGACAAGGTGGTAAAGCATTATCGCTAAACATACAAAAAAATTAAGAACTTGAGGATTTTCTCATGGACCCAATTATTAGATTTTGACCAAATTTATATGGGACCACCCGTGAAGTATCCTCTTTCTAACAAAAAAAGAATTATTGAAATCAGACACCGTGTTAAAGAATTATCGCTGAACATACATAAAAAAAAATATTACGACGAATTGATAACCTCCTTTTTTGAAGTCGGTCAATAAAAAATACCGTATAGCTAATAGAAAAAGAAGGAAATTAAATTTTTTGTGAAAAATAAATTAATATCAAAAATTAAAGAAAAAAAAAAAGGGGGAAAAAGAAAATATATAGAAATTTTACGAGGAAGAAATTTAACAAAGAAATATTTTAATTTTAACTGACAAAAAAAAAATGCAAAAAGAAAATTGAACTGTAAGCTCACAACTAGCTCAAAGGGAGTGGGTTCTCAGTGCTTCGGATTCACAGAGGAATTTTGCTACTAGTAACTAGCACGAAAAGGACGGCAACAAGAAATAAGGACGCCAGGTATTTTAGAGACAGAAAATACCAACTGTATCTTCTGTGAACCTAAAAAATTAAATAATGTGCAAAACAATTGTGGTTCAATAGGTAAATAATAAAAAAAAATTAAATAAATAGTATTTTATTTTTTTTATCCTAAGATACAAGCTCTCTCTCTCTATGGTGATATGTGAGTTAAAGAAATATTACGGAACTTCCCTTCTCAACTTCCACGACGTCGGCTGGGCGGTCTCTCTGGAAGCAAGCAGGGCCTGGTGTTAGGCCGGTATTCTAAGATCCGCAGTGGTGCTGTTCTGCAGCTGGTGATGTTGTTCTTTTCTTCTTATAGAGGAAGAAAGGGATCCTTTCCGTCTTTAAATTCTTTCTTCAAAATAAAACTTGAGTGGGTCTGTCTTCAAAATCTTTTTCAGATGGATCTAGGTGGACCTAGGTGGGCCTTGTTCTCGTTAGGCCCAGTTAATTCGATGGCACTCAAAACAGAAAAGAAAGTTATTTGGTATCTGGAACCAATTTTGGTAGAGAATTTAGGTATCCACCACTAGTTCGGTCAAATCGATCGTATACCTGTCCGAATTCTTTATTTAGAATATTTAGATTCAAAATTAATTTTTGAATATTGTGTTACGAGAGGACGGTAAAATTTACCGTAACAATTTCTACATTCTTTGATCCTCATTAGTTCCATCAATAAGTATTTTGATATATTTTCAATTTCTTTTAAACTATCGTCTCTACTTTTTTCATTATCGTGCTTTTCTTCTTCTTTTCTTTTTTTGGGCTATGTTACTGCAAACAATTTACCCAGATATAGTTGATTGGCTTCTACTAGATAGTGATTTTAAATAAATTTTAAAATTTGGAAAGGGTGGTTATTCTTCTATCATCCAAATAACACAAGATGTATCGAATATCAAATGGGGCTGATAAACCAGCCTTCGTTAGTTCCAAATACACATCAAAAAGGGGAGATTTATTAATGGGGCACTCTAAGATGATGTGATTTAACGATCCAACTTCTCCTCACTCGCAAAATGGGTAATCTTAAATGCCAATTCGAAATAAGTGATATGGGGTTAGACAATGGCCAGTTCTCATCGGTATAATTGTGGAGAGGTACCTTCTTTCATAGCATTGTTTACTATTAAACCACGGAGTTTTGGGTATTTCAGGGACCACTTGGAAGTAAAAAGATGTTTTCTTTTCTTTTAGTGAATTCCATTGTTGATGCCATTTGTTCCAAATTTCTTGTTTAATGAAGGGTAAAAAGTTAGACTTATATAATCACTACGAATGTGTCAGCTGTCAAAGTCACTACACTATTCCCATTCCGATTGTATACATTTAGTGCGTTCTGAGTGTATTCTCACTTTCTTGTTCTCCATATCGATAAACAAGGATACAAATATACTCGATGCTTAGTTTTTCATTGTATTTAGATCAACTAGTAGAACAATATCAATGCAAATTATCTTGGAGGACAATGGACAGTATCAATAGATGGCAGTATAAACTCTGTGATGTCCAAGTCATGTCTTTGATAATTTTGTCGTCTTCTACCGAGCCAAGGAACGGTTGTCGAAACTGAATACCGAAAAGTAATTTCTCTATTTACTAATAGATGGACTGACAGTCGATTCAGAATATTTGTTTTAAAAATGAGATAAACGAGTTTAATTCTTGATGAATATTTATTTACGATTTATCATCATTTTAGAGAATATAAAGTTTTACACGACGAATAATTTAATATTCAACTGCTCCACTACATCTCGGATGGTTTGCAGCACATTTTGAAGAAACCAGAACAAGCAGTTACTGCTAAACACTTTAATCGCCGTATTTTTTGATCACACTCGTATTTAAATCTTTTTTTATTTGTTTTCAAATTATAAAGCCTTTTAATTGAAAATTAGTTAATCTGTTGTAAAATATGTTTTTAGTATTGTTAAATGCATATTTTTTTATTTATTTGAATCCATTATTTTTTATTAGATATTGGAAATTATAATATTTCTAATTATTATTTCAGCTGTCAAAATGAAATTGTTATAGTCACTTCTTTGTAATTAGTTTTTGATTTCGCTAAATTCTTTTTAATTGTAATGAATTTGAGACAAATTCTAACTGGTTATAAGTTTTGTTACAATCAGTTTTTGAAATAAATCATATATTATTTAATGAAAAAAATTTTTTAATCAAATATTATTGGTAGTATTCAAAAGATAATACATCAAGAAAAAGTTATATTTTTATATCAATTTCTACATTTTACAATAAATATATTTATTTATATAAATCGGATTAATAATAATATAAATAATAAATTATGTAGAAATAAATATTTATTAAAATATCCAAATCCGTATAAACTAGCAATAGAAAAACAGTAAAATTTAAAAAATACCAAACAATATGTAAATATATTTTAAAGCATTAAAAAACATTTTTAAATCGTAAAGTTTTATACTTTGGCACCTCCGATTTTCAGAATTTTTAAATATTTTTCTAATTTATTTAAAGGTTTTGTATAATTTTTTCTAACACTATGATCACACAAAAATATCTGCCCAAATCTTATACCTACAGATTTTTTTAGTTTATGTTGAAACTTTTTTAAACATAACCTAATCTACTTATTATTACTTCAAAAATTGCTTAAAACTGGTTCTTCAAACATTGAGTTCCTCTTTTAAAATACAACCTATAGTATCTTCAACAAAAATTAAATAGCTGCCGTTACCCATGGTGATTAGAAGATCTTCAGGTATCTGAAAAGAAAACTTGAGGATCCTGCCATCGAACATCCAACTATGCAGCACAAGTTCCCTGTTTAAACTTCTTATTTCGACCACTCGAATACCTGCTGTCGATCGTATCAATTTATTAGATGGATCTAACGACAAAAGAGATGATTGCTTGGATATAGTCTGGTTGAACCACCTGAAATATTGAAAATATTTTACACAAAAAAAAAAAGAAAAATCAGAAATAACCAGCAAACAAACAAATGAAGCATAAATAATTAAAATAAATTAAATTACAAGAAAGATTACTAAATTACATAATATTTTTTTTTAATAAAACTATACTGTCATCTAGGTGTGTTTTTGTAACTACAGTGAACCTAATTTATTTTGGAACAAACTTCTTTTGCTTTCATTAGTTCATGTTCTGACCCTAAACACATATCTTTTAGCATTTATGTTTTAGATGGCAATATTATAGAATAAAATACGTCTTATCAAGTTCAAAGTATTAAATCAAGTGGGAAATCGAGTGGGATGTCATCAATCTGGTTTTATTTCCTTCTCAACCAAATTTAAAAAGCATGGCAAATAATATATGGTAGGATATTCCTGATAAAAATATTCTACATTAAAACCCTTCTTACCTATGGTAGCACAATATCACAGCACAACTTCTACTCAGTACAGTATCGTCACTTTCTTCAAACGACTTAATAACAATAAACTCCTTCTTCTTATTCTCACTCCTTAGCCTTTCTAACAAACTATCCGGTTCGAATTCTTCCTTGAACTCGATTTTATCCTGGAAGGTCCTTTGTGCTTCGTAGCCCGTATCGACGCTTTGATTTGGAGAATTTGAGTTTGTAAAAACTTTGTAAATATTATCGAATCCTCTACCCATGATGCCTTCTTCAGTGTGACCTAGATCGAAGGTGTGAAACAGTTCGTGGAGCACCGAGCCTAGGGTTGTTGAAAAACAAGCACCCAGCGTTCCCCTGTAGTATTGAAAAGAAATAAAAATGTTAAAATAGTAATGATTTACAAATATAAAAATTTTATTTACTATTATTATTTACAGTTATCCAGAGAAGTTATATTCACTTAATATCTAGATTAATTTAGTTTTAAACCTATTTTAGTTCATAATAAATGCTTTCCTTTATTAATTTCGAGTCTAGTTATTATTGATCTAAGATGAAAATGTGATGTCAAATGTCAGATGTCATAAGAGAAGAGTCGAACAAGATTAAGCACCATTTTTATATTTTGTACAGTCATAAAAGTAGTACAACTTCATTAAATATACATTATAAATAATTATCTATAAAAATATTGTATTAAAAGATAAAGCAAATATTTAATGCCTTGCCATCTGAAATTAAATTTGGCATTCATTCTTGCTTGGCTTGTTGAAATTTTGACATTTTGAAATACATATACCGATATTATTCATATTGTATTGTAATTGATGACATGAATACATTCGAAGTGAGGTTATGGTCAATTTCCACCGCTAATCGTTGAAATAAACATTGAAAGCTTACCATATTTCTTAACTAATATACAGATATATATTACTCACCTATAACAGCTATCATCTAAAAACTGTGCCCTGTTTACTGGAGTAGAATCTTCAAACCTAAGAATCACATCGTCAAAATTTTCGGGCCAGGTATATAAACAAGCGGTACCAAAAAGTGCTAATCCCCCACCTCCTAATGCTACATAACCTTCCGTCATTTCTATTAAATCGTCATGAGTTGCAGTGATGCCTTGTTTGAACCTTTCTCCATAATATTTGGTACAAGATAAAAACGCTAGATATTTCCTATGGTCTGAACCAATTGGGGATTTCATTATTTCACGACCTAAAAAATTAAATACATAGTAATATTTTTAATAAATATTAATTTTCTGTGGCATTTGACAGCTGATATTTATCAAAGTGATAATTGACTGTAACCTACCAACGTTTTCCCACAATTGCATTTGGTTCATATTCCTGGCATCTTGACACTTAATTTGACTTTTAAACACTTGACACTCCTCATTTAAGAAGAAACTTTTTCTCCCAAGACCATGTTCATACAATTTTTCTGCTGTAACACACTGCAAAAGCTTTGAACCCAAAGTTATTCTTTTGCAAGCGCTCTCTATATTGTTGGATTCCCAAGGAGGTGCTTGGAAGCAACCATCGTGGTCCTCACATATCACATATAATGGTATCACAGCGTTTTCTGATATAACTAGAAAAAATATAACAATGTATTAATTAATGTATTAATATTGTATTAATGTGTTAATTAATGTATTAATTAATTTATTAATTAATGTATTAATTAATGTATTATTTGTTACATGAATTAATGTACTAATTAAAATATTAATTAATGTATTAATTATTGTATTTGTTAATTTAATATTTACTGTAATATTAACCCTATTAATTATTGTACAAATTATTGTAGTAATATTTTAATAAATATCTTAGTTAATGTATTAATTAACTCATTGACTAATGTATTAATTAATGTATTGACTAACATATTAAAAAATATAATAATTAATGTAATAATTACTGTATTTAAAGAATAAATTAATATCTAAATTAATTATCTATGAATTAGTTATTATATCAATTAATATATGAATTAACTTATTAATTAACGTATTTATTAATATTATAAATAATGTATTAATAATGTTTTAAATATTGTATAGGTTAATGTATTATTGTATTAATTATTGCATTATTTAATGCATTAGTTAATACATTAATTTTTGTACTAATTAATATAATTATAATTAATGTATTATTGAATCTCTTAGTTAATATAATAATGTATAAATTAACGTATTGACTAATGTATTATATAATGCAATAATTATTGTATAAATTAATTTTTTATTGTAATCATTATTACATTTACTAATTAATCTATGCAATAATTAATGTATTAATTACTGATTTATTTAACGTAGTAATTAATGTATTAATTATAGTATTATTTCTTTAGGTATTAATTAACTAACCTGGAAAGTATTCCAGAACTATAGAAACAGTTTCGCAGCAATACTTGATCCTGATTTGATTTTTACCGCTGACGAGTTGAACCAAAAATTTAAATTTGTCATTGATTAGATTTGTTGACACTAGGACGTTTGTGTTGTTTTGACTCAGATAAACGTTTGTATCTTTTTGCATTTGGCACACTGGTTTTGTCGCATATTGGACACTACCTATTATTTTGATTATGGAATACGTCACTGCTTCTTGGTTTGTGAAATTTAAGATTTTGACTTTGTGGTTGTTCATTATCTGGAAATTATACATTAAAGTATAGAATAACTATAGTTGTATACAACCTACATAATATCAATGTTTTATGAATATATTAAGAACGTTTTGTTTATATATTCTTTTTAGAATGTTCTTAGAACAGGTTAGAATATACTTTAAAAATATATTCGATAAAGTATATTCTAAAAAGAATATTCTAAATAGAATATTCTCAGAAGAATATTCTCAGAAGAATATTCGCAAAGGAATAGTCTAAACAGAATATTCCAATAAGTATATTCTAAAAAGTATAATATTATACACACTGTTTACAAGCATAATACCTACTATAAAAAAATGAAAACATCTAAAAATATATGTTTAAAAAGGTAAATAAATACCTTTAACAGTAAAATCATAAATAGATACACCATCAAATGCAGTTCATTATAATTTACTCCTTTTAAATTATCTATAAAAGTTAAAATTTAAAAATAAAATACAGATTTCTGCTTTCCATAATCGATTCGTTGAGCATGTCTTGTGTAGATGGAGTTAACAGTATTAAATTTAATTTTCGCCCAGTTACCAAACGTTAACGAGCAGTCAGATGCAAGTAACAACGTTGCCAAATCGTATCCGAAAACAAACTAGTTAAAGAATAAAATATTGATAGAAAACAAAAATAATAAATTATATAAAATATGTAAGAAATTGTTAAAGATGGAATATAATTTTTAGTTTAAAATTGGTACAGATACATTTCTTGTAAAAATCAAAATGTTATATATTATTAATTAAAAAATATTGTATTGTTTCTCTACTAGATGGGTGTACAGAATGTTTTCGATAAATAAAAATTACCCCTTGAATTACCATAACATAGTTATTGTAACCTATCCATTTATTAGGTATCTATACCTCTCTATTAGTTTTCAGTGGCAAATAAACTAAATAATTGACTTTTTTTAATAATATGAAAAATATATATCAATGTATTTAAAATAAATTTAAAACTAAAATTCATAATAACCGCTTACTGGACATTAAAACAACAAATACCTAATTCAAGATTTGGAATAAGTTAAGCATATACATTTTCCGTCCTCTGATTTTTTAGTTTTGCGTCCGGGGGGCACATTCGCCCCCCTAGAAACGCTACTGACGAATTTAACATTAAAGTATAATAGACTTTGTAATACAAACCGTGTTCTAATATTCTATTTAAATTAGTTTGCGTAAAATTAAAAATAAATAAAATTGGGTAAACTAAAACCAACCCAATTAAATGAAATATAATATTTAGAAATTGTTATGTTTATTATTTGGGTATAATTCAGACCGCTTCTGTTTTACTTTGGTTATATTTTTAATTAAAACAGAATAATTATTACAATAACTTCATCCAAATTAACAGTGATGTTCTTAAAGTGGCACTGGGAAACAGTAATAAAGCCTACACGGAGCACGAAGCAAATGACCTTAGTAGTTTAGGCTGATTACACAAAACTTTATAGACTTTCAGACATTTAATTTCTTCTCAAAATTTTCAAAGGGAACTAACCACACGTCACATCTATATGACAATTGACATCTGTCAAGTCAATGAATCGTATTTTATGCAAAAAAAATTACTTTATAAACTTTCAGAAATGTAATTTCTTCTCAAAATTGTCAAAAAGAACCAAACGTCACATCTATATGACAATTGATATCTGTCAAGTTAATGAATCGTATATTTCACAAAAAATTACTTTATAAACTTTCAGAAATGTAATTTCTTCTCAAAATTGTCAAAGAGAACCACACGTCACATCTATATGGCAATTGACATATGTCAAGTCAATGAATAGTATGTTACACAAAAATTTTTTTTTATAAATTTCAGACATGTAATTTCTTTTAAAAATTGCACAGAACTGAAATTAGGAGAATGGATTTGATGTCAATTCTTGCTCAAAATTTACGTTGCGTTAAGGTTTGAGTTTGCGCAGTGAGTATCTGTTAGACATGTCAATTGTCAATCGTGAAAGTGATTTGAAAATAAATGTTAATTTTATTTATTTAAAAACAATTTTTGGGATGATTAACCCCGTATTGTACAACCCGCCGTTAATTTTTTCTAAAAACATTGTTATGTATATATTTTTTTTCAAATTACGACCTTGTTTGGCACCTACTGCGCAAACTCAAAAAAACCTCAATTTTATTCCCCTTGTAGGAACGTTTTTGTAAACTGTCAAATGCATTCTCCTTATTTCAGTTCTGTGGAAAATTGTCAAAGAGAACCACACGTCACATCTATATGACAATTGACATCATCTGTCACGTCAATGATTCTTATTTTACCGTTGGTAAACCCAACAGTTATCTAGGGAAATAAGAGAATTTAATATTTATAACTATAGCGACTTCACAAATTAAAATTCTTAATAATAAAATGATTGTTCTAAAAAATCTGGTTTCTTATGATTAGAATTTTTTAATTTGATCACTTTATAATTTAGAGTATTAATACGAGTATTAATGCGTCTCTTGTTTTTCTTAATTAATTTAAAATTCTTAAATTTTCCTCTATAAACTTTGTTTTAATGAATTCAATTTTTGCTTAAGATATTACAGAGATCTTAGAATACTTAATCACAGACTTTACATGCATGTTGGTTAAAATACAATTGAGACTTTTATAATATTAGGTATAAATGATTTTCTTGTACAATTTAATGTTATTTATGCAACATTTTATTAAAATTCATGAATTATTGTTCATTATTTTCCATTATTAGGTCAACTTACCTTGCAAAAGAAAATTTTATTATCTATTTCCATTGATATCATATCTAATTAAAAATATGATGTAAAAAATATTATTACAACTTGGCAACTTTGGAGAACTATTTATTCCTTTTAACCCGGCATCTGTATACTCAATAACGTTGGTGTTTTATGTTATGATGATAATGGCTACCATCAATAAGAAACTTCTAGATTTAACGATAAATAATAGAAAACACAAACAAGCATGTACTACATCAACAACATAATTTACATAGAAATAATTTGCAAACTATCTACTTACGATTTATTTAGTTTTTCAGCTGTTCATTTAAGTTTTAAGTGACGTTCTGATGTGTTGTGCGTAGTTGGAATCATGGCGCTAAGTTTGAACTGTCTGCAGATTTCGTTGTGTATCGATTTGTTACGCTTCCACCAGCATGGGTCTCTATGCCAAGCGGGCGCATTGCGATTTATACCGAGTGTTGATTTAATTCAGCGTAGTGCTCAAGAACCTATAGGAGGAGGTTGGAAAAATATGATAAAACATGAACGGGCCAAATTTTCATTTTTTAGACTATTTTAGACTATTTTAGGCTATTTTAGACTATTTTAGACTATTTTAGACTATTTTAGACTACTTTAGACTATTTTATACTATTTTAGACTATTTTAGACTATTTTAGACTATTTTAGACTATTTTAGACTATTTTAGACTATTTTAGACTATTTTAGACTATTTTAGACTATTTTAGACTATTTTAGACTATTTTAGACTATTTTAGACTATTTTAGACTATTTTAGACTATTTTAGACTATTTTAGACTATTTTAGACTATTTTAGACTATTTTAGACTATTTTAGACTATTTTAGACTATTTTAGACAATTTTAGACTATTTTAGACTATTTTAGACTATTTTAGACTAGACTATTTTAGATAATTTTAAACTATTTTAGACTATTTTGGACTGTTTTGGACTGTTTTAGGCTATTTTAGACTATTTTAAACAATTTTAAACTATTTTAGACTATTTTAGACCATTTTAGACTATTTGTTGTTTATCGTTATACATCGACTTTTTTGTGTGATTTTTTGCTATTTTAAAATAGATGGTAGGCTTTCTTTTTGAGTCATGCCTTGGCTTTTTTTGTCAATCATTTTCCTACTGATTTTCTTTTTCTTGTAACTCCCTCACTATTTTCTTGCTCTTTCAAAATGCTTTAAGCTTCTTTTTTAATTTCTCTACAAGTTTTAATATTAATTTTTACTTTTCGTATTATAATTTGTTACCTTTTCATTTAAAACATTATCTCATCTTCGTCAGATTCCTCAATTCTCTTCTTTCTTGGTACTGGGATTCTCATTCTGATTTTTCTCATTTTGATTATTTTTATTTTGCTTAGTTTCGCCCTGGTTCTCGTTGTTCTCTTCTTGAACAGCAACAAATTCTAGAAAAAATCTAGAAAAAGATAACGATTAAAGAGGGAGCAGTGGATCTAATTTTTTACGTTCTCGAGGTACTTGTTAATAAAAAAACATATATTCCAGATTTTAACGGGTTCTAATTTAAGTTCAAATAAGCTTGGAATTTTCAATTCAAAATTCAAAACTTTTAAGTAAGGTAAGATCTATTCGAACTTGAAAAAAAATTGAGTCTTACGCTACATCACTAGTATTAAATTTGTAGACAAATATTTTTTATCTTGTCCATTTCAAGTATTTGAAAAATTTGGATTTCGGTCAATATATTTATTTAAGATTTTCATGTAGACATTTTTGTTTAGATGACAAAATTTGTTAGGTAATTTAAGAGAGTGTTTGTTGTACATACCAAAACAACAGAACAACTTACTTGACATTTTTGGTAATAATTTGAATAACATTATTAACAATTATTAACTATTTTTAATTTGTAAACACCTATATCCGGTTCAAATACTCCGTCTACGTCTAGCAATCAAACTAGTAGTAAATTTTCACTATAGACATATTCAAGGTTGTTTACTATTTTTTACACTTTTTCTAGTGTCTGCTGAATATTTAATTTGCAAATTAGGGTTATTGCACCTAATTTAATAATACGATTTTAATACTTTTTTTGTTAATGCTAGTAGATTTATATTAATGATAGTGATGCATAAAAGTTTTGTTTAGAAAAAAAAAAAAAATAAATAAATAAATAAAAACGTAATTAGTCTGGTGACATTCAGCAAGGCCAATCTGTTGCATTTCTAATGAATTTCAAACTTTTTTTTATTAAATTTATATTTATTTGTTTTATCAAAATTTTCGATACATAATTTCAATGGGTGCCAAATATGGAAAATAATACGCTTTTAATGTTTCTTAATCTAGTCAAATACTATGATTTATATACATACAGGGTGTTCCATCTCAGATGAGCCACCCCGTATATTTCTTATCCCATAGTAATTGGAAACATTTCCCGAAACATATCGGATGATTTTCTTTGGGGGACATCTTTTGACGTTTATTTGAGGCTTGAACGAGGGGCGCTTCAACCCCTCAAAATTTAATAGGGAAGAGGGGTTGAGTGATACTTCATTTGCAAGGTCTTGGAAGCCTCTTTACAACGGTGTATGAAAAAATCTCATTCTTAAAAAAAATAATTGTTTTATCATGCTTACAATCAAAAAAATCAAAACTGCGTTTTTAAATCAAATATTCAAATTGTCCTCCATTGACTTCCATACAATAATAAATTCTCTCGAACTAATAAATAAAAAAAAATCAAAACATTTTCTTATCTTGTCTTCATTTTTTGTTCTTAGAAGGTGTTTATCACGTTTTTTCGATAATTTCATGGATTAAAAATCAATCTGTTGAGTTACTACTTTGCTGATTTGCTTACAATTTTAAAAATAAATTATGGTGTACACATTGCAAGAACGTGTTGAGCTGGTTAGCCTGTATTACCAAAATCAAAATAGTGCCCGAGCGGCTGTACGGATATTTAACCGAAACCATCCTGAACGTAGCGTTCGCCATAAGTAGGTAATGGAATAGATGATTTCAACGGAAGACATCTTGAAGTTGCAAGGTCATTGGAAGATCTTTGCGCCATCTATAAATTTACATAACAACTAATAAAATAAAAAAGAAAACTGTAAATTATTATTTTAGCAATCTGTTTAAGGTTACAGCGTCGGTATTCATTTTTTTCTTTGTCTTCTTCATTAATTGTATGTGCTCAGTTTTTCACCATCTCTATCTACTTAGTGCCAGGTCCCAAAGTCTTCTTTTTCTTAGACATATGTGTCATGTCAAAATTTGTAAAAACATAAAACAAATTGAGGTTACAATCTCTGGTTTTGTTTTTGAATTATTATTTGCATTTATTTTGAAAATACTAGCTTAGAAACACAAAGAAAATGATGAAAAGTAAAGTTAAAAGGTAGGTGTGCACCTTTTGTTTACTACTTTAAATTTCAAAGTGAATAGATGTATTTATCATTGTTGGGTAATGCAACCGACACCCAATAAAAAAGGTTCTAATTTAACAAAAATCAGCCATAGAGACCTAACGCACGCTTAGCAAGCCATGTAGATCTAGATTCCAGATTTTGGCGATAGTAAGAGTGAAAATTGAGCCCATACAACTAGGCAAGAAAAAAAGAAGAAATTTATGCTGACGCCGCCGTAATTTTAGACAGATTGCCAAAATAATAATTTACAGTTTACTTTTTATTTTATTAATTGTTATGTAAACTTATAGATGGCGCAAAGATCTTCCAATGACTTTGCAACTTCAAGATGTCTTCCGTTGAAATCATCTATTGATTTCAAAATTTGTTGAAACGGGTTCAGTAATGGATAAAAAAAAGGGCACCCATTGGAATTGTGAATGATGAAGGAGCTGTGGCGGTATCGGGCCATGTCCAACTTATGCCAACACGCAATCTGTTCCGACAACTATCTGCAGTTGCCGGTATTGGCCAATCTAACGTTTTCAGAATTTTACATAAACACAAGTTCCATCCGTACAAAATTAAATTAATTAATGAATTAAATGATGATGATTTGGATCGAAGGCAAGAGTTTTGCGAAATTATGGCCGAAATTATGGAGAGGTTTTCCGTCATCGGTTATTTATGGTTTCCCCATATTGAAACCATATTAGAAACCGATCATAATCCTATATTTTTTATGTGATATGGTATTTATCTGGGTTCGAGATTGGTTTCCCTTCATCGGTTTTTAATAAGTTTTCCATATTGAAACCATATTAAGGGTTCAAATCTAGGATTTTAAGTTTATTTTATTTTATAAATTAGAACAAAGTTATACATTCTTTTTAAATTAGTTATGTTTTCTTAACAAACTAAAATAATTTTTAAAATTTGTAGATTTTCGTAAGTGGATCGTAGAAAAATATGCTGTACAATTCGAGTGGTATGTCCAAATTACTATTTTAATTTTGAGAATTAAGTATGTTTTAGATTAGATGGAAAATTACTGCATTTTGATAGTAATCTCCAGAACATTTTTGACTAACATTACTAAATAGATTTAAAAAAATTTCCATTAATATGCCAGGCAATTCAATTATGTATAATTTATTTTCAATATTGAATGGATTTTTACCTGAAATTAAATAACCAAAAAAATTCATACATATTGCAAATTCTGATGATGTCAGCAAATATATTTTAAATAATTAATTATTGTATTTTAATGCAACTGTTCATAAAAAAAACTAGTTAAAAATCGAATTTAAAATCAGTGGTATTAAAAATAATAAAAGAAATTGATTACCTATATAGAAATTTCCATTAATTATTCACATTTAGACGTCTACCAATTCTATTTTAGAATAAGAGACAATCATAAAAAATAATGTTGCTGACGTAAATCCTAATGCAATAAAATGGGATATAATTTCTGTTTGTTCTAAAAAAAATAGTTTGTAGTTTATCCTTTTCTCAAAAAAATGCTTTTATGAAGAAAAACAAAGTATTCTTAATGCAAATATAAAACAAAGTGCAGTAGTAAGAAGTGAAATTATGGAAAAAAAACAAAAAATAGTAAAATGCGTAATAAACTATAATACGGAAAATAACTTCAGTTATAAATAGTCTGAAAACTTATAATTGCATAGTTTTGTGTTCCCACCTTATCGAGACTGAGGCCCACAAGGGTAAACTCGTAGCGTAACAAAAACGAGAAATGGTTTACCTTGGAACGAAAGACTGAAAGCTGATAGTAGTAATAAAACGTTGAATTTTTTGTTTTGTGAAGCAGTGGCATTACTTAGGTTAAACCATAATTTTCACAAGCCTTGATTTTTAAAACCATTCTACATCGCCTTATGATAAGGTTTTAAAAACTTGTTCGAACAATTTATCCAATAAATGGGTCGAATTTGGCCCCATTACCTT